GCAGGTTGGAACAACCATTAATTGTCAGGTCAATCATGACCATGAACCCATCAACTCTAGTTCCAAAAAGGGGAAGTCACAATTATCCTGTCAAGGTGTGAACAGGAAAAGGAGAGGAATGATTCCTAAGCAATTCTTGATGGAACTGAATAACAAGGGGGATTTGAAAACAGGATAGAATGGAAATTGGGTCAAAATCTGTTTTCCTCTATTAAATGTATAGAATGAATAGAGTGAAGATAATTGACTCTGGAGTAACCCATTCAATTAATCTTCAGGAAGCACCTGTCAAGAGGGGTCAATCACACCTGTTTCTCTGTTGACAGGTTCATTAACAACAGACATTTTTGACTCTGCAAAAATGGGAAATATCAGAAATGAATGGGATACAAAAACAGGTGCTCATTCTCATTGATCTGAGAGAGTGCACAAAGTGTGCCTCTTGAATGACTAACTTTAGGAAAGAGTTTTCCATTTCCAGGATAACAACTTTTAGTGAATGGCAGAACTTTTACCCATGTTCATGCAAAAACATTTTGTTGCTTGATTCAATCTTTAAAACAGGGAGCAATACTTCAACATACTGCATGTTTCATGTTATACTGGGCTCTGAGTGTCAGGGGAAAATGTTTCCAAGAGACAATCAGCTCATTATCAGTATAGATGTCACTCTTAGCAAGCAGGAAAATGTGGTACACCAGGATCTCAGCCCACCCAAACTGACTAAATTGTCCAGTATACCAGTAGGTTACATGGTCTTTTTGTTATGCAGTTGATTAGACTCATAGAAAATAGAACAATGAAACAGTGCAATAAATCATCAACAATTTCAAGACAATTTGAAACTTGTTGATTGTATATCACCAGTAAATTATGCACATTTGGAGCTGGCACTGTAAACATAACTTGAACATCAAAGGATTGATTCTTGCACTGTCTAAAATTTTCAGTATAAGCAAGGTAGAACATATTTTTCATTGTCAGCTCTACTGGTTTCATGGTTACAATTCAAAATATGCACTAAAATCTGTAAATAAGAATATACAGTGGGCCCCCGACTTACAACGGGCCCATGTTACGTTGGTTCCAATTTACGACGCTTTTTTAATTAAAAAAACCCCCGACTTACGTCAGGGTTTCATGATACGACAGCTTCTTAAGTTCTTCAGCTCCACACAAATTTAAAAATTTCTTCTTGAAACATATGATCAATTAAAATAATGCACTTCCTTCTTTCATCAAGTGGTGATTCACTTGATGGAATATTTTTCCTGAAGATCAATATCTTCAGGTTTCATAATGTTTGGATAAAAATATTTGTTCTTTTTTGTTCCACAATATTCTCGAATTTATTTTCTTGTACGACGTAGCGTTTCCATGCGCTGCGTCGCACTTTCTGTGCCTCTCCTGTTCATGCGCTGCGGGCAACATCTAGTCGACCCGCGACAAAAGCCAAATTAAAGAAAATTAACAGGAGGGAGGGAGGGAGGCATCCACATTCATCACCCGGTGCCGCACAACAGCGGAACATTAATTAAATTCGGGAACGTTAACAGGGGGGATTTTCCTTTCCAAGATCCGGAACATTAACCGAAAAAACGTTAACCGGACGGGACGTTAACTGGGGGTTGACTGTAAAACACAGTATTGTGCAGGTTGGAACAACCATTAATTGTCAGGTCAATCATGACCATGAACCCATCAACTCTAGTTCCAAAAAGGGGAAGTCACAATTATCCTGTCAAGGTGTGAACAGGAAAAGGAGAGGAATGATTCCTGAGCAATTCTTGATGGAACTGAATAACAAGGGGAATTTGAAAACAGGATAGAATGGAAATTGGGTCAAAACCTGTTTTCCTCTATTAAATGTATAGAATGAATAGAGTGAAGATAATTGACTCTGGATTACCCCATTCAATTAATCTTCAGGAAGCACCTGTCAAGAGGGGTCAATCACACCTGTTGCTCTGTTGACAGGTTCATTAACAGACATTTTTGACTCTGCAAAAATGGGAAATATCAGAAATGAATGGGATACAAAAACAGTTGCTCATTCTTGTTGATCTGAGAGAGTGCACAAAGTGTGCCTCTTGAATGACTAACTTTAGGAAAGAGTTTTCCATTTCCAGGATTACAACTTTTAGTGAATGGCAGAACTTTTACCCATGTTCATGCAAAAAAATTTTGTTGCTTGATTCAATCTTCAAAACAGGGAGCAATACTTCAACATACTGCATGTTTCATGTTATACTGGGCTCTGAGTGTCAGGGGAAAATGTTTCCAAGAGACAATCAGCTCATTATCAGTATAAATGTCACTCTTAGCAAGCAGGAAAATGTGGTACACCAGGATCTCAGCCCACCCAAACTGACTAAATTGTCCAGTATACTAGAGTAGGTTACATGGTCTTTGTGCTATGCAGTTGATTAGACTCATAGAAGATAGAACATTGAAACAGTGCAATAAATCATCAACAGTTTCAAGACAATTTGAAACTTGTTGATTGTATATCACAGGTAAGTTATGCACATTTGGAGCTGGCACTGTAAACATAACTTGAACATCAAATGATTGATTCTTGCACTGTCTAACATTTTAACTATAAGCAAGGTAGAACATATTTTTCATTGTCAGCTCTACTGGTTTCAAGCTTACAATTCCAAATATGCACTAAAATCTGTAAATAAGAATATACTGTACATACTTGTGCAGTATTTGAAGTGCAAGCATGTTTTTTACTCATGGGCAATATGTACAGAAATTTCTTTTAAGAGACATTATAGCAATGTATTAACAGTCAAACCTCTCTATAAGTCAAATTTCATGGGACCTGCAAAAAATTAAACTTAGCAAGGTTTCAAATTAGGGAGTTTCTGAATTTTATATTTTGGAACTACAACACAAGCTGTTCTCTTCTGGGAAACTTAGAAAAAATGTAAATGGTGATATTCCAGGGATTAAATGGCTTCTTAAATGAGTTGAAAGGCTGCTGAACTTGGAGGCAGAGGTTCATTTCCCCAATGAAGTCTTTCACTTCCTTTAAAACACATAAATTTATGTTTTTGTTGCCTTTTTCTTTCTTTTTTCAAGAAAATAATGGCCATAGCAAATTCAACTCATGTAGGTTTAACGGGGGAAGCTTTCAACTGAGGGAGGTTTTAAATCTATTCTTTTTAAGGGGCCTGAAAAAAACATTTGACTACCAGGGTATTTGACTTGGGGAGGTTTGAGTTATCAGGGTTCACCTGTGATACTATATTGTATTATGAGGAAAATGAAGGACAACATAAATTCTTCAATGGCCTTTTCCTCATAGACTGACTTTATTCCAAAGAGCCAACAACAAAATTTCACCATTTCAAAGGTCACAACATAAAAGGAAATGGATAAAACACAAATAACCAGGTTTCCAGCATGCATGTGTGTGTCAGCATATTGCTGAATAGAATCACAATAGCTTTATGAAAAATAAAGATATAATAATTCTGAATTCAAACAAATAAAGCTTGTTGAATTCTCTAAAAATGCAGATGCTGGATAACTGGATCAAAATATTGAGATCATACAGAAAAATCTCTTTACAACAATGAAGCTGCCGAGACTGATAAAATAGCTGTGTTGTCATGAAACAATTTGCTATGATAAGAAACTCTTTCAATGTTGGGGCTCATTTTGGATAGGAGCCTAACCTGAAACATAATTTTATTGCAATTGATTACTCATGATGTAAAATGTGATTTTTTGTAACAAGATGCTACTTTAGATCCAATACAGTCAACCCCCACACAATGGACCTCCTGCACAGCAGATTTTCTTACACAACAGACTGCCTCTGGAGGTGCTTTTCCCTCCCACACAATGGACTAAATCTGTATAACAGACTTCTATTGGTTTAAAATTAATGGCAAGATGTAAAAATATAAATTTTTTATAACTGAATTTGCATAACAGACTTTTCACACAACAGACTAGTCTTCTGGATAAATTATGTCCATTTTGTGGGGGTTGACTGTATTAGCTAATAAAATTTCAGCAAGCATCTGAAGAAAACCCATCTGTTTATTTCCAGCTCTCATGCATAAAAATATTTACTTAATGTCAAGTAACAATTAGTTTTTTTTTCGCACCTGCATTTAGTCTCCAGAATTACTTTTCCTGCGATAATTTTTGATGAACTAGTCTTTTCTTTTCATTCTGGCCCCAAAAGACTGAGTATACAGTACTTGTACATATTCCTTCACAGCAATATTCGGTGCGCTGCGAAATGTCACTGCTGGAGTACTGGCTACTGCTGGGGCATCTATACTGCGTTTTACGTCGACAGATTTCTTCCTGCATATTGCCAAGATTTCCTATTCTTCTTTTCAGGTTCTTGGAGCACTATTCATTCATCAATGCGGCCTACGGGTTCCCGATATTGCACGAGAGACAATTCATTCGCAACACCAATGACAAGCCACCCAAAGAAAACGTCACTATTCCCAGGATGCACCAGTATCAGATAGAGAACTACGTGGCGTCGTACATAATTCTCGCTGTCGGGCTTGTTTTGTCAGTCATCGTATTTCTCACCGAGATATTCTTGGAATGCTGCAAGAAGCGGAAAGCCATTGGAATGCACCGGAAATAGAAAATTTTTGCCATATCACGTATATTTACTGCATTCAAGGTTGCACGTATATACAGTCGTCGACCAGCACAGAAATATAGTTAGACCGGTTTTCAAGCTGCATTTTCTCTGGATTGGTTAGTTTTGAGCTGATGCATTGAGCAGAGTTATTGTATTATAATGGTGTGAAAATATTCTGGAAATCATTGTCTTCTATTAGTGAAAATAGTGTTCAATGAAAAGAACATCCGACACTGGTGAAAAATAACTGAAAGATGAACCCTGGATTTAGTGCCCCCAAATTAGTGCCACCCTCCCTTATACAGTAGTGACACAAATTTCTATATTGAAAAAAATCTCCCTCTATTGTGTTCTTAAGAAAAACCCTGATTTAGTGCCAATTCACTCAGCGTCACAAAAATTTCCCAGTCCTTATTGAAAAATGAGTCAAAATCAGAAAAATTAAGGCATATTTTTAGGGATATGATCAGGCTATGACTGAGAATCAAGCGCCCATGCTCAGGATAAGTAAAGGACATTTTATTTCTAAATTTACATACAATATTGGGCAGCTTAATTTGAATGTCCTCCACAGTGAATAACATATCAAAAACAACAAGCCTCTTTGAAAAATTGTAAAATCACTCATCCTGGTATTTGACTTGTGCAGTGCTCTTATTGTAAGGTTGATACAGAACTACAAGAGACAGTTTCATCACTCTTGGCCCAGAAAACCCCTTCATTTGACCATCAAATCATGTTGAGTGGCTTTTTTTCTTTAGAACAGATAGCCTAAAATTCTGAAAAAAGTTCATTTACTTAGATACTTAGATACTTATTTACTTAGTTTCATTTACCTATCTTAGAAGCAATTAAAGGAATTTTCTTTTCAAACAATACTCCCAATTTAGTGCCACTCTTGCTTAGTGCCACAAAATGTCCAACAACAATATGGCACTAAATTGGGGTTTTAATTATGTTTCTTTCAATTAACGCCAGTTTCAGTTTGGAAGGATAACTGGATTCCAAAACAACAGAATAACATTTTTTCTTCATGCTGACTTGAAATTTGTATAAAAATTTCGAAAATTTCTGCTGTAATAAACAAAAATAAATACGTAAGAAGAGTACTTTTTCATTAAGAACTGCATGTTCACTGAAATAGAGCACTATATATCATTCAAAAGTTCCAAACATGCATATTCTGTATAAAAAAAAAAAGTAGCATTTTAAAAATTTTTAAATGGAGAAAAATGTTGATTTGAGCTTCATACTTCCTGCAATTTCTAATTTTCTGTACAAGATTACAGTATTTATATTTTTGAAGGTTTTTCAATTATGCACAGGTCATGCTTTCCACATTTTGCCAATTATAGTAAAAAAAATCATGTACACATAATTGCAAGGCAAAAATTCTTTATTCTCCAAAATATTACATAGGGAAACATTATTTTGTTCGAATTACAGTATCTTTTTTCCATAAAATTGTCCCTATGCTCAAAGAAATTACCAGGACCAAGGAAAAGGCTTTGTTTTAAACAAAAGTTTTTGTATAATGAGACTTGTTGTCATGGAATTTTCCCGGGCTTTTTTGGGACTGAATTGCAAAATAGCACGCCCAATTCTATCCTCATCATGCAATAATTTACCCAGTTGGTCATGGCCAATGGCTATGTCTCATTTACTGCATGAAAAATCATTTGCAATTCACAGTGTGCACTGTCATGGTTGCCACCCTTGGCCTGTGAGGCTCCATGATGAGTAACCAGCAAAACCAATCATGCATTTTACGGGTTTCAGGCTCATGATATGAACGCACAAAGAATTCTTGGACATGACCTGTGAATAATTGAAAACATTTTGAAACCCTGATTTCGGAGATGATGAGGATTTTATTCCTTTCACATGAAATTTATCATTTCATGCACGTGCTTATAGGAGAAAAATGCGCATTCTGTCTCACGCTTCGTTTCCCACCTATATGAAAATTATGTGACAAATATAATGTCACCTTCGAAACTCACCTTTTTATTGATCGTGGCCCGTTTTTCCAAATATATATAAATAGAGGAGCTACAGTCGAAGATATTTCAGTATACTTCGATTGCTGCTGTCTATATATTTACGAACATATCATGGATCAACTCTGTGTTCGAGAATCTATCTCTGCCATCATCACTCTACTAACAGCCTGTAAGTTTGATCCCAACAGACTGATAGTCAACACGAGATCCGGAGACACTTTCACACCGGATGCATTCACCGGACTTCCGGTCATTCTCCAGACCAAGTCCCAGCAATTGAAGCGGAAACCTTCGGCCGTTTTGCACTTGAACTCGTTTGCAAATATCACGGGGAATGACTTTGCTGTCAACTCGTTTGCGCCCTGGTTTTTCGTCTCATGCGACCCGGAAGTTCCTTCGAATTTTTTTGGGAGAGTCGATAACAGTTCAATCGGAAAGGTAAGCTTTGTGGAAGGTATATGGTGAGATGGGGAAAATGTCGCAGATCCAAAATTGACCAATTATTATTATTTTAATGGGATTAAATATTCCCTGAAAGGCAAAATAAGTTCCCTAAAACATTCTTCGTTGCCGGGAATAAGCATTGAATTTCAATTTTATTATTTTTCAAAATTAAGCTTTTGTGTTTTCAATTTTAATAAACGCGCTATGATATTTTTAGATCTCTACTTTATCAATTGTGAGTAGATATTCCTCGCCCAACAATTCACAATTTCAGGCTATTTCAATGTTTTGGAATTTCCAAAAGCTTGAGGCCAAATGATTAAAATCATTTGTGCCACTTATAAATTTTGCCTATAATAGAAAAATGCAATATTAAAGTGCAAGACTCACTGAAATTTAGGCTTTCTGTGTCCAGAACATCTTTCATTGAAAATAATTTTGAGTTTCATAATTTTAAAAATAAATATACTGTACACTGTGATGCATCATACATTTTGTCATTTGGGCATTCCATAATGTGGAACCCAGCATAATATATAGTACAGTGATGAGACACCAACTTTAAAGACACCCCTCACATACAGATGATTCAACTTGGGGACACTTGAAATTTTGAAAAATCAGACCCAACATCTTGACAAAATCTCAAAATATGGACAATTTTCCAACATGTCTAGGAAAATTTGAAAGTTTTTGTCCTTCAAAATTTCGATAAGTTTCTCATAAATAAATGTAGGTTTTTATGTTCATACTAATATTTAAGAATGCATTTTATTGCAATTTCACTCAAATTTATAATCAAAGAAGGTTAATTTTGTTAATCATTTCTTTGAGCATTCTCCATCATCTGTGTATACAGTACAGCAAGATTTGCACTTTTTCTTTGTATTTTGCCCTGTTGACAGGTTCATTAACAACAGACATTTTTTGATATTCTGATGCCAGAATATAGATCAGATTCTGTGTGGTTTTCATCCACACAATTATTCTTTATGTTTTAGTTGAGAAACGCATATTATTAGATTTCTGGAGGATTTATTTTTAATTTTTGTGGAACTGGAGAACCAATTAATTGAGTTACCATCGAAGTGTATGGGAAAACAAGATCCAACATATGGATGGTTCAACATAGGGACAAAGTCCCAGCGCCAATTATGTCCAGATCTCGGGATTTTGTGCTGCTCTATTGAAATGCAGAAATTCACTGTTCACTGTTGAATATTTCATCGCATATTCCCATCAATAAGTTCAGCGTTGTTTTTCAAACACATTTGCTTGAAATTCTGAAAAGTTTTAAAGTCAAGCATTTGCTAACCTCATTTTAATTTGTCTTTTATATATTCAAGCCAACACGGGCAACTGCTGAAAAATCATCAGGTCGAGCAGCAGTCAGAGAACTTTGCCGAAAGATGCTGGTGGACTGTTTTTGGTATCGTGGTAAAAACCGCGTTTCTGCAGTAACGATGTCAAGGGACTCGGATGATGGATGCCCGGTGATGGAAAACTTCAGGAACCTGACGGGTCACACCCTGGTTGGCCTGTCCATCGTAGGTTCCATCCCGAAATTACCCAATTCCCTCTACGAACTGGACGTGTACTCGATGGACACGGCTTGTGACTACTTGAAATGCAACGTGGAGATGAAACCCGTGCTTCGGGATGGCTTCGGAACTGAGCTGAAGAACAAGACCTGGACTGGACTCATGGGCGACTTGCAAAACGGGCCGGATAATTACGTGGGGGTCATGGTGCCGACTTCTTACCGGACTGTCGTCGTGGACTTCACCACTGGAGCCCTGTATGATGCCTACAACATCATCATGTCGAGGAAGGCGAGGCGAGTGCCTTGTTATTTGTTGTTGAAGTATTCCGCCAAAAGCTCAAATAATTTGGCAGTCCTTATTCGTTTGTCAAAGTTTTCTAAACAATTCATCATATGTGACAGCAGAGTATATGTACACGTAGACTCTCTCTGCAACAATTTTACAATGATGGGGTTTCTCCCTATGTTTTAGGGGTTCTCTGCAAGAATATGTCATCTATTGCTGTGAAATCACTGAGTGTGTTCTTTCAGCTAATATACCATGGAAATTTTATGATCTTATAGATATGTATGTCACTCATCACATCACAAAGGGAAATTCACATACCCTCAAATACTGTCCATCAAACTTTAGGTTTTCATTATTTTCCACATGAATGCACTGCAGTAATACAGTCAACCCCCACCTAACAGACCTTCCACCTAAGGGATTTTTGCCAAACAGACTTCCTCTGGACTTCTGAAGGCAGTTTTTCTTCCTGCCTAATGGACAAAATACACCTGATGAACTTCTGCTGTCGGTTTAAAATTAATGGTAAAAAGTATAAATTTTAATTTTAATAATTGCATTTGCATAACAAACTTTTCAGATTTCAAATTTCTCTTCGACGGCAAAATAATTTGAATTCCTGGCTTTTTAAAGGCTTTTATAGCTAATGTTGAGCTATATATATGAAACAAATTGCCTGATTTAGTGATTCTCTCTGAAGCCTAAATAAACTTTTCCTTACATTAAAATCTTTGTTGGAGAACAATGGGGAAAATGATAAACCCAAAAACTAATTTGAACCAGAATTAAATGCTTGTGCTAGCCAGCCAACCTGATTCTTTATACTAAAACTGCCACAACTCATTTTCTTTTGGGGCTTGCCAAAATTGAGTACTAAGCTCAAAGTCCTCTTGCAAGAGCATTTGAATCCCTTTTTTCAGCTTTTCAGCCAATGGTGGGCTATTTGAAAGAAATCCCTTGATTCTACATGGCCTATATATAAACTCTTTCTTATATGAAAAACATTTTTGTCCATCAAATGGGAAACTGGAAAGTATAAACACAACTTGACTAAAATATCTAATAACCTGTGTTAACCAGCCAACTGGAATCATACAGGGAAAACTGGCTAGTGAATTATGCATCAGGCAACCAAATGACTAACAGCACTAAGGTACAGTATTTAGGAACTCCTTGTGGTCAGACATCAGGAGTTGAGCCCCCTGTGCAAATTTTGATGAACATTAACATTATGCTTATGGCCTAAGTTGACTCAATATACGAATTTCATGCAGGTGTCACTACCAGGATCATAACTGGAAATAAAGTAATTTGACCAAATTTAAAATGTGTCTACTGTATAACCTAGTATTCCTGAAAATAAAAAAATTAATATACCCAAATTTAAGCTCACAACCTTAGAAAAATGTATTGTATAGAGGTAGACTCCTTCTTCAACCAACTGCAAGAAAGCAGAAAAAAATGTTTTAGTCACCCCACACACCGTGGACTGAATTTGTTCAACAGTTATATTTTTGAATTTCACCGTGTCCCACAATTTGACTGCTTTGCAATTTAACCGTCATTTTGCAATGGATTAGGGTTGCATTATAAGGTACCACCTGTTCATTCTTTTTACAAACTGCAATTGAACAAAGTCACTGCTGGAAACATCCAACACAGGAATGAGATTACCCAGCAATTGTCCTCCTGCTGCATCAAGTCGTGCTGATGCTGCAAAATTTTCAATAATTCATTTCAATTCCTATTTTTTTTACAGGAGATTGATCAAATATTCAGTCATGGTCCAGCCATTTGATTGGTACACCTGGTTACTGATAATAGGTGGGACTTTGATAACAGCAGTGTTCCTTGGATTGCTGGCTGCCATCAATGCAGATGATGAAAGACCTTCTTTGGGAAAACTGAAGCAATACCTGTTGAAATCAGTCCCTGATACAATCAGAGGCTTAGTCCTGCAGAACCCCGAAGAGGAGCTGTCTTCGAGCGACCATTTCCGTGTCGGGAGCCTCGGGTTCCAGCTGGGTACCATTTGAAGCAATACCTGTTGAAATCAGTCCCTGATACAATCAGAGGCTTAGTCCTGCAGAACCCCGAAGAGGAGCTGTCTTCGAGCGACCATTTCCGTGTCGGAAGCCTCGGGTTCCAGCTGGGTACCATCGTGGTCACAGTGGCCTACAGCAGCATGTTGACTGCGCTGATCGCGTTGCCGGATTACGAACGATCCATCGATGATTTAGACGATGTGGTAGCCCTGAAAGCCACGGTTCATTTGCATATCTTTGGTGGAGCCACGAACACTAGGGTTCAGGAGGACCTGAATGCACTGACGGGTTCGGGTGAAGGCGTTCGGTCGGTGTTGGTCCCAGATATTCCGTATCAGACCATATTGAATGGATTCCAGAACCGAATAACGTACATGAACTCCAATTTGGTTTTGTTCAAGAGAATCAATATTGACGTCACAGCAAACATCACCGAAGAGTTTTACTACTCCAAGGAGAAAATGTATCAACGGTTTTATTCTTTTGGGTTGAGGAAGAAATCGCGTTACTGGAGGTGAGCATCTATACACAGTATACAGTTTACAAGGGTTGTCTCATTTAAACGCGGCCCAGGATACTTCAGAAGTGAGTGTGATTGTAAAAAATAAAAATAAAAAACGAAAAAAAATCGGGAAAAATCCCATGATGTTCTAAGGTTTTGGGATTTAAAAAAGAATTTTTTAAAAAGATTTTCTTATTACTGTGTGATGATAGATGAAAACTTGCCATGCAGTTACAGCCAGAGTTCTCCACCTGTCATGGGTCCATTGGATCCCAGACAAAGGAATTGAATTGTGCAGCTGTCAGAATGAAAGTTTTGAATAAGAACTCAAACTCTTTTTCAGAGGAGTTCATTCTCATTTTGGGTCAGGAAGAAATCAGGTGATTTCTTCCTGGCTCAGGATTGGCTAATAAAGGAAAATCTAAGAAGTGAAAACCACTTCTTGTCCTTGAGTGAGGCTCAGTGAGTCTGCAAAAACGAGATTTTTGGGAGGCTCACTGGCCTCCAGAATCAACACATCCGGTTTCCACCGGATGCTGGAGCTGCGTCGCTTCCGTCCGCGACACCACCCACGTCATAGGGTGTTGAAAATTTGTCATACCAGCTGAAAAAAATAGAAATTTTGGTCAATTCAACCATTTTCTGATGTAAATTTTTGATAACTGATTACAACAGAAAATGAATTCAAATTTCTTAGTTGGTCTGAAACATTTTTTTAGCAACTAGCTGTGACATGGCTGGAGAACTCTGGCTTAAAGTGGAAAGTTTTCACTTATCACCAATTCATCATGCAGCAAACGTAAGATGTTTTTAGAACCTTAGAACATCATGAACTATATGTCACACATTTTTCTCGTTTTACAATCACACCTAATCTAGAAATATCAGAGGTCGCTTACAACTGGGACAACTCTCACATGTGCGCATTGAAATGTGAAGATTTCTGAGCCATGTTACTGTCTTTAGACATTTCAAAATAATTCTCATCATTTCGTCTAGCTACATCTTTTTCAAGTGCTCATCCATACTGTACTTACTTTATCTGTGAAATCCCTCAGTGTGTTCTTTCTTCAAATATTCACAAAAAAATATTAACATCTTTTGTATAGATGCCACTCATCACAGCAAAAGTGGAATTCATTTGGCTTTGCATAGTCTCAAAAACTATCTTTCAAATTACAAGTGTTCATCATTTTCCAGGATTGTCCACTGTTGATAAATGTTGTACATAATAACACATAAAACTGGATCAGAATATAATATGAACTAAGGTTTTTTTTATTCAATATTTCAATAATACTGACTTGGAATATAAACCTTTGAGCATCAAGTTTTTCAAGAATTTAAATGAATGAAGGCTCTTGAAAATGATTTTTCCCTGTGAAATGTTATGCAAGCAGACATTTCATAATGCCAAGCTTCCAAAAGACATACCTATAAATTACTATAAATTAATCCACATGACGCTCCTCTTCAGCAATATTCCAGGCAGAGTACAATGATATATTTCATTGTACAGCACTGTACTATTTCTTTTCTCTGGGTTTTTGTCCCGCGAAAACGTCAACTATGCAATATTATTTTTGAAATAATTATAACTTTCTCTTTCCAGGTTTTTTGAGCATTTTTCGTTCGTCAACGCTGCCTATGGGTACCCTCAATTGCACGCAAGACAATTTGTGCGCAACACAAATGACAAACTGCCCAAAGAAAACGTCACTGTACCCAGGCTGAACCAGGAACAGATAGAGAATTATGTGGCATCATTCATAATTCTTGCTGTCGGATTCGTTTTGTCAGTTGTTACATTTATTGCTGAAATATTCTTGGGATACTTGGAAAAGCGGAGAGTTAATGACATGCACAAAGCTGAAAAAGGCAATTAATGGACCGTAGTATCATGTGCAACTGTCATGCATATGATGGTGCACTCGAAATGAATGACTAGAATGATTTTCAGAAAGCAGGATATGCTTGCAGGATGGAATTGGGTTAATAGTCATGTGTCATACATACTGCCACATGATGTGAAAAAATGCTATCCCCATAATCTCAAGAATACCCTCAATTGAGTCTGTAGAAGTTTTTACAGTATAATGTTTGGAAAACACTCGAGTTCTTTAGGTTCACAAAAACCTCTAGTGTTTCACACAAATTCTAGAAACTTCTACAAGCTCTATTCAGCGTATTGAGGGTATGTGAAAAAATGTTGTCCCCAGTATCACAAGAATACCCTCAATAGAGTCCGTAGAAGTTTCTAGAATTTGTAGGGAAAACATGAGTTCTTTTAGTTATCTATTATTGATTTTTAAAAATTCTAGCCAATCCCATAAATTATAGAAACTATCTACAGACTTTGTGGGAAACACTAGCACTTTTTAGAAATATTGGAAAACTAAAATAATTTCCAGTGATCCCCAAATATTCTAAAAACTTCTGTACAGACTCAATTGAGGGTATTCTTGTGATGTTGGGGACACCATTTTCCCATATACTGTACCTTCAATACCTTCAATAGTTTGTATATATTGAAGCTTGCAGGAGATTTTTCAGAATGTTTTTATCTCTTTTATTGAATTTTTGGCAGAATTAAATGTAAATTTAACTTTTGGTACAACAATTCAGTATGGTTCTCCTATAGCCTTTGCCTGTAAGGTATGGTACGATTTTATCCTCTTTGCTTTACAAAGGTTGTTAATTTTTTTTGAAAGAACCATTTGAGAGATTGATTTGAAACTTGGAAAGAGCCATCAACATCAAACAATCAAGCGTTTATGATTTTTGCTAATTGTGGCGCCCTCTCTGTGAGGAATGGCAAAGAAAAACAGCACACATGCCCTTTTTCCTCAAGAGGGGAAGTGGCAGAAATTATTTGATGCACTGATCCTAAACCAGCATAGATAATTGCAAACTGTTCAGCAGATGCATGGGAAATATGTGCAAGAGTATCTCCCAGCAGTCCCAGGTGATCAAATTTTCCTGGAATGCACAACTGTTGGATGAAGGAAGGTCAAAGTTGGCCTTTGGAATTCTTGTTGTAATTTTGGGTCATTCATGTTCCTCTCCTGGCAGACTGCTGATCTCTAGCCAGACTTCTTATCTGTAATTGTGAAATGGGAAAGTTAGGCATTAGTACTTAGATTAATTGCCTGTATGGTTTGTAGCTCAACTCACAGTGTTTCAAATGTTTGTTGGATATGAATTTGCTTGGTTCAAACTGTGAAGTCTGGAGTTAATGTTTTGTAACTTGAAGATGTTTGCTTGTTATTGGCAGCATCTTGAAGTGTGTGTTTAAAATGGTATTTTTATGTGCGCGTCTTAATATGCTGGTGCTTGGTTTATTTTTTGGTATTGCACAGGCAGAGCTGCAAATTGACAATGGCATTTGTTTTTTATATCATCTCCTGAATTGAACCACAGCAAGCATAACTAACCATTTGTGTGAATAAAAATCTGGGTGTATTTAAATCACAACCTGAGATTCTTGGTCATTAGTTTGTGCAATCATCCCTCCAATACTGTTAGTTGCCAAGGCAGATAGGCTGTAATTGACACCTGTCTAGTGACGTCTCCTCAGTGACCTAGAGGTGGGGTACCCTGGGAGAAAACTGCATATACATCTGCTTTTTTAAATTTTCCAACCCCCTGTTGTCACCTGGGGGGCTGACTTGCCTGGGAGCACATGGGTGTTCAGTGTGCTGCACCAAAGCAGATCCTCATGCCATCCAAAATTTGAAATATCTACAGTGCAACATCAACACCATAAAAATACCTAGAGCAAAATCAAACTCTTTCACTTGAAATAGAGTCTGTAGAATATTATAGAACTTGTGGGAAAATCTAGAATTTTTTCATTAATGCTGGAAGACTTAAAGTGTTTTCCAAAAATTCTTGAAACTTCTACAGACTCAATTGCAGTAGGTATTCTTGTTTTGCTGAGGATGACATTTTTAAGTATGATGGGGTTGTCTCTAACAGTTGTGGCATCTGCAAAATAAATTTTGGGTCTTCCTGCCAAGTCATTCCAAGGCTATCAGGGATTTTTGCTTTCAAGGATGTCACAGAAACTTCTATTGCAGATGTTAAAAGGGGCAAATCCTTCGGTGTGCTCAGAACATGTCTTGTTTCAAAAAATAAGTTTGCTTACCCTTTTTTCTGGACAAAGCTGTAAGTCGAAAATGGTAATTTGGAAGAGCAAGAATTGCCTTCAGCCAAAAAATGCGCAATATACACAAAGGGAAGAGTACATTGACAATTGAATGCATGGCAACATGAGAAAATCACGTGACCATTTTGCTGCTCTTGGAAAATTTTTTGGATCCACCATGGTGTGAATCATAATAACCAAAAAAAGAAACAGGTTGAAAGCAAATTTTTATTTGCGCTACATTCAGAGCACGTCTCCTTGCAAAGGTGGGCACAAACGTGAGAAGTTTGTTTTTGCGTCCTGTAGTAGATGTCGCCACCGTTTCATGAATTCTGCGTCACTCGCATACGGCGTACAACATTTTGCGAACTGAGTAAAATGGTACTCTTCAGCTCATTTTTTTCGCAATCGAAAATATGCAGGAAAACATCATGATTAATTCAAAGCTAAATCATTCGATACTGTATTTTCAAATTCCTATCGTGCGGCACTTCTTATTTGAGTCTCTGAACGTTGATAGATCTGTAAAATGTACCTGCGTTGATTTGATCATTGAGAAATTATGGTACTGCAGGAATAAATCTACCCCTGAGAGATATCTACACAATTTTCCTTCATCCATTTTCCAGGAAAAAAAGCTTACCAATTTATTTCCGGCCTTCCAATTTGCCTTTTAAGCTGACGGGAAAAATATGCCGAACGTCAGCCATGATGGATTAACTAATAATCGTTGTCCGTGTGTTGTGCAGTATTTATTATGTGCATTTATGGAAATTGAGCGAATACGTTCCGCTCAATCATTCGAATTTCCGTACTGCGCATAATTATTGTTGCTACTTTTTTTTCCTTCATTAAAATTCCGGGTTTAATTTCTCTCGATAATTATTATAAAAAAAGGCTTTTACCGCAAGCTTCGACATATTTGACAGCGTAATACGGAACTTTGGCAAATGCAACAGCTTTCATGAAGGCAATTTGCAAACGCTTCTTGAATTGTTCTATCAGTGAGAATTAACTGCTTTTGACACTTATTAATTCCCGTATTATACGAGGGTTCTAACAAAAGTTCTCAGAGTAGCAATGAAAATGGCATACAATTCAGCTGAAAAAAATTTATTCTCTAGCCAAAATATATTCTTTGGCACACAAAAAAAATCAGCCCGGTTTGACAATTTTTTTCACATTTTTTGCAAAATTCATCTATATAGAGTTTTGCTCTCCACTCAAAAAATGAGGCGCCCTTTTTTTTGTTGTAGCCCAGCTTTCCCCTCAGAATAAGTCATCCAATGCAATTCCGCCATTTTCATCAACAGCCGCCTTCACAGCGGCCAATGTGGTGGCTGTGAAGGCGGCTATAATGATGAAAATGGCAGAATTGCATTGGATGACTTGGAGGCAACCCTTACAAAAAATCCGAAGTTGATTTCAAAAATTCTGAGGGGAAAGCTGGGCTACAACAAAAAAAAGGGCGCCTCATTTTTTGAGTGGAGAGCAAAACTCTATATAGATGAATTTTGCAAAAAAATGTAAAAAAAATTGTCAAACCAGGCTGATTTTTTGTGTGCCAAAGAATATGTTTTGGCAAGAGATTACATTTTTTTCAGCTCAATTGTATGCCATTTTCATTGCTACTCCGAGAACTTTTGTTAGAACCCTCGTACGTACATACAATACTGAGCACGTCTCACGTTTTGTACAATTATCTCAATTACTTGCTCAAAAATAAGGAACTTCACATAATATTTCGCCAAACGTTTTCAGAGGATAGAATATGATTTTGAATGATGTCCCACAAAGGTATTATTTTAAGCAATTTTTACATTTTATTCATGCTTTTGACGACGAAGAAAGATTTCGATTTCGATTCCTGACCTTCAGAAAAAATTCCATGTCATCATGGAATACGGTTTCAAAAATTCAGAAGCTGAATTCGTCTCGCGTTTTGGCAAAATCCCACGTACCATCATCAGGACTGGTTAAACAGCCTTGGCATAAAAAAGGCAAATCACCCTACAGCACTTTTCTGCCGAGGAATAATTTTTCTGAATACATTCAGCTGCATTTCATCTGACCATTCGCCCCATTTCTTGCAAAATCACGCGAACGGTTGAAGAACCCTGACGCATACACAAGGGGTCCATCAAAAGTTCTCGACATATAAATTAAAACGGCATTTCATTGAAGCGAAAAAAAACTTTCATTTTTCATTAAAAAAATTCTTTAGCACTTATTGTACAAATTCAGAACTGTTTGACACATTTTTGAATTTTTTTGCAAACCTCACACTGAAGACTTTCTGCTCTTCACCCAAAAGATGAGGTGCCCAACCTGCAGATTTTTTTGGTGTAACTCACCTGCTTCTGTAAAATTTGTTGGGTCGCGACTCGCAACACAGCTTCAGCATCCCGTTGAAACCGGACCCAAAAACATGTCGGATTTCCAAGGCCAGTGAGCCTGGCAAAAATCCTGTATTTGCGAGACTCTCTGAGCCTCACTCAAGGACAAGAAGTGGTTATCACTTCTTTGATTTTACAAAAATTGGCCAATCCTGAGCCAGGAAGAAATCACCTGATTTCTTCATGACCCAGTCCAAGCACCTGGCTATAAAAGCCTTCATTCCTCTTTGAGAGAAGTCAGAACCTAGTGTTATAGGGCCTTTTAACTTTAAATTATCTCATTCAATATTCTGAGCTAACCAACCAATTTAACCATTAACTCTTCCATTACAACCATTGAATTTACAGCCAAATGACATTCTGGGCAGTGAGAATGAACTCCTCTGAAAAGAGGTTGAGTTCTTATTCAAAACTTGCATTTCAATAAGTGCTAAAGAATTTTTTTAATGAAAAATGAAAGTTTTTTTTCGCTTCAATGAAATGCCGTTTTAATTTATATGTCGAGAACTTTTGATGGACCCCTTGTGTATGCGTCAGGGTTCTTCAACTGGCATATCATTAATTCCAACAGTTGCCTCCAGGTATTCTGGGGTAACTCCGCCATTTTCATTAACAGCCACCATATTCTCATCCCAAGGGGTGACTTTCAATAAAAAAAGTGGTACCGTAATATTAAATTGTAAAAACTCAAGGCAACCCTCAGAATTACCATATTGTGAATTTCAAAAACTCTGAAGGAAAATTTGGGCTATGCCAAAAAATATGTTACATTCGCATCTCATCTTTTGGGCAAAGAGCAGAAACATGCCTAGGTGGTTTTTAACCCTTGGATGGCAGTGGATCAAAAATGCCATCCTGCGGTGGTCCTGGAATATTTTTGCACGCCTGTGCATTCTGGTTTGACCCATAAGGTCACCAAAATACAGCTTTGACCAAGTAGCCAAAGTTAGAAAAAAATCTGGTAAAGGGAAACCCACTTTTCTTAACCTTTGGACAGCAGAGGTTTCCTGGCTCTTGTTGGGCTGGTTAAGGACGAAAAAGGTGGGTTAAATAAAAATTCAGTGCTCAGCCCTTAGGCAGCTGGATCCTCCTTAATGGAGTCCCAAAAATCCTCATACATTTTCCCACAAGACAGGAGGGTGCAGGTACAGGCGCAGTAATCCTTTCTCCTACAAAAACTCTCAACCGGAAAATCCCTAACACACACACACACAAGCAACAATAATTGTTGAGCAGTCAAACACACAATCAGAGGTCACCCAGAGGTTCTTATGCTGGCAAACAATAGAGCTATAAGTGAAGTTTTGCTGCCAGGCAAAATTCTGTTCTTCCTTTTCTCTTTCCTGTTTATCACTAATAGTTTGCCAGATTGTAAGAAACCAGTTGTGCAGCAGCAATGCATCTGCAGCCACATGCCTAGTTCACACTCCAGGGAAATCCTTCACCAGTGTGGCAACCTCTTGCAACCCCACAGCTGTCCCGCATCAAAGTTGGGATTTTTTAGGGGGAGGGGTATTTCAGTTTGACCAAACGTTACTGAAATGCCCCCATATTGTCAAGGACTATGTCAGGAAAGTCTGGGTGCAGAAAATCCCATTGTTTCAAGAAATCCCCAATGTTAAGTCTATGCTGGGAATGCCAGAAAAATGCCACCCAGGCAGATTTTTTTTTAAACTTTTGCGCCAAAATTTTCCTCAGGATTAAAAAAAATATATCAGACTTATTCCTGACTTAGCCTTGGTTCAAGAATCATATTCTCTTAATCTGCAGCCCTCATGGGGACAACATGTTGCAAAAATATCCCAACTTTGCCACAGAAGGGTTAAAATCCCTCAATGCTAATCCTATATATGGCAGGGATTTAGAGAAATGTCACCGCACCAGTAATTTTTCTTACTTCTTTTCATGGAGATTTTTTTGCAGAAATGTTTAAAAAAGTAGGGATTTTTCCCAACTTTGGCCCTCATAATAATTCCGGCTTCCTCAATTTCTTTTTATTCTGTGTGGTACACAATTTTTTTGGGATAAATCCCAGCACCGTCACCCAAGGGTTAAAAAATTGTAAAAAATCTGTCAAACTAGGCTGAATCTTTTCTCCTGCCAACAAATGTTCTCTTTTTTCTGAACAATATGGTACAGTACTTGTTTCTCAGCTCAGTTTTGTGCCATTTTAATTTCTATGCCCAGAACTTTTGTCAGGTCCCTCGTGCATATATAGACGGGGAATCATCACCCAGTATTATTTTTTTTTTTCAGGGGTTAACGGCGGGACAGAAGTTGTGCCAGTACCCATTATCCCGTAGTGCACATGCGCCCAAAATGAGAACCAGTCAGGGGAGAACCCGTGCTGGGGGTATAGGAAAAAAGGGGGTCAGGAAGTCGAATGGCGGGAACTAGCTGGCAAAGCCCGGCCACTGGTTTTTCCCTGGTGCAACCCTGGCATCAGTTGTGGTCCAGTATTTCTTTCATGTTGAATGTGCTTCGACGCGAAATTCCTTGGAGTTGAATTAAAAGGAACAGAGAGATGGAAAATAAAAGGTGTGATGTGGCGAGACTTTTCGACGTTCGCTTTTCGCGAGTGATACGTTTGAATTATAGAGGATTTATATATTCATATTATTATTCATTCTCATCGAGATGTCCCCCTTACAGCAGAAGTACAAAACTGTAAATGCAAAGATTAATTTTTCAATTGAATTGAACAGCAAAATCGCAAAGAAGATGATTTTGCAAAGAAAATATGGCCTGCGAACGTTCGACCAACTTTTTGCGACAGCAGGAAAAGTTTAAAGAGGAATTTCGATTGATGGATCTTCGAAAAAGAATTGGAAAACGGTTTTATTTAGTTTTTGAACAAAATATAAATTTTGGAAAGTAGAAAGTGCTGAATTAGTTTTTGCAGTTATTTAAATGTGAAAATATTTTGACAGTATAAATAAGTCAGTCTGAAATCTAATCAAGTATTTATCAGCTGCAAAAATTCGAGACGTGATTGAGAATTTCTGTAAAATATTAAAATAGTTTCCGTGATAGAAATTATTGATTTGAAAGCCTGGTTTACTGATTATTTTGAAGGCTAATATATAGACCATAAATTGTGTTACTTGAGTATTTGAAGTCAAGGTCATCTGAATTTTTTGAAGAATTGAGTGAAGATGTTTTTCGAGCTTTAAAATCGGAAGCCACGTAAGATGACACATTGAAAAAAATGTTGAAAGATTCTTTCGCACGCTTTGAAACGCATTTTAAGAAGGATAAACTTCAGCCAGGATCTTGCCAATTTATGATTCAGCCAAGTTTTGTCGATTTTTCGCAACATCGCTAGAATTTCATGAGATACTGCAATTTACCCAATTTTCACAAAACATCACCACCTTTCTAGAACATTTTTGGGTTTCATTGCTTGAGTCACTCAGTAACTATTTATATTTCATCAAAATTTGGCAGCATTACATCTAAAAGAATAGTTAAAAATTTTCTTCATGCAGGATTTTCTGCGGGTTGAATACTTTGGGGAACATCCTTGAATTTCCACAGATTGAAAGCAGTTTTTTGTGAGTCAAAATGTAAACTTGAAAGTGATCTCACAGATTTGAAATCATCCCATGGACTCATAATGTTACTGTATTTGTTAAAACAACATTTTGGCACTTATTCTTTTCAAGACGAGCACGGAGTTAAATTAAATTTAGTTGAAACTGATTTAGTTTTTATCAATATTTATCCATGATGAGACCATCCAGTGAAATTATATTAGCTTACTAGAATTATTAGCATAAATGATTCGCTGAGGGCGTTTGCAAATTTTTTCCAAGAGTTGGTGTACATTTCGCAAGCTGTCCATTTTTTCGATCTCTTTATTTATCCTTATTGCTATCGATTTTCTGGACAGTATCTATTAGTTCTTACATAATTTCAGAATGACAGATGAAAGTCTAAAAGTTGAGGCAGTCGCGTAAAAATGGGATAAATGACAAGAAAAATTCAGGCGCGTATTTTGCATAGACCGAAAAAGACGGACGGAAATTAGTCTGCATTCAGTACTTCTTCCAGTGCCTTCGAGATTTGGTCTACTTTTGCATTTTATAAAATACATTATACATTGAAATTTTTTCTGCAAAATTTTAGAATTCTTCGCCGAAATTCAGAAATGTTCGGTCCCGTGCACTTTTAAGATCCTCACGAATGATTAAAAATACTTTCTTAACATTCAACTTCCGAAAACATCTGAATTCATATTTATTATAAATTTGAAAAATTGACATCATAATACAAAATCAACTATGAATATTTTAATTTTCTGAAATAAGGGGAGATTTTTTATAGACTCATCTGCTTTCAATAATTGATACAAATCTATTTTGGAAATGAGATTCGATCAAGGAGAAAAATCTTGAAAGTTCGAAAAAAAAATGCATCGCAAAAGTTTCGGAAATGTAAATCCAATTTTGAAGTTTTCATTGCACCAGTACATCGAGAGGAATCAGTATTTCAAATCCTATACAACAACAAAAACGAGTGGTTGTACGAATCGATTCCAAAGGATTTGAAGCTTTCCGAATAATTAATCGCTCGCCAGGATAAATCTGCCAAGTTTGCACAAGAAATAAGCCGGAGGGCACAAATTTAAATTTTGTCAGGATGAAGGGAATGCAATCATCGCATNCTAGCTGGCAAAGCCCGGCCACTGGTTTTTCCCTGGTGCAACCCTGGCATCAGTTGTGGTCCAGTATTTCTTTCATGTTGAATGTGCTTCGACGCGAAATTCCTTGGAGTTGAATTAAAAGGAACAGAGAGATGGAAAATAAAAGGTGTGATGTGGCGAGACTTTTCGACGTTCGCTTTTCGCGAGTGATACGTTTGAATTATAGAGGATTTATATATTCATATTATTATTCATTCTCATCGAGATGTCCCCCTTACAGCAGAAGTACAAAACTGTAAATGCAAAGATTAATTTTTCAATTGAATTGAACAGCAAAATCGCAAAGAAGATGATTTTGCAAAGAAAATATGGCCTGCGAACGTTCGACCAACTTTTTGCGACAGCAGGAAAAGTTTAAAGAGGAATTTCGATTGATGGATCTTCGAAAAAAAAATTGGAAAACGGTTTTATTTAGTTTTTGAACAAAATATAAATTTTGGAAAGTAGAAAGTGCTGAATTAGTTTTTGCAGTTATTTAAATGTGAAAATATGTTGACAGTATAAATAAGTCAGTCTGAAATCTAATCAAGTATTTATCAGCTGCAAAAATTCGAGACGTGATTGAGAATTCCTGTAAAATATTAAAGTAGTTTCCGTGATAAAAATTATTGATTTGAAAGCCTGGTTTACTGATTATTTTGAAGGCTAATATATAGACCATAAATTGTGTTAATTGAGTATATTTGAAGTCAAGGTCATCTGAATTTTTTAAAGAATTGACTGAAAATGTTTTTCGAGCTTAAAATTCGGAAGCCACGTAAGATGACACATTCAAAAAAAAATTGAAAGATTCTTTCGCATGCTTTGAAACGCATTTTACAAAGGATAAATTTCAGCCAGAATCTTGCTAATTCATGATTCAGCCAAATTTTGTCGGTTTTTCGCATCAGCTTACTAGAATTATTAGCATGAATGATTCACTGAGGGCGTTTGCAAATTTTTGCGAAGCGTTAGTGATCATTTCGCAAGCTGTCCACTTTTTCGATCCCTCCATTTATCTTTTTTGCTATCGATTTTCTGGATAGTATCTATTAGTTCTCACATAATTTCAGAATGACAGATGAAAGTCTAAAAGTTGAGGCAGTCGCGTGAAAATGGGATGAATGACAAGAAGAATTCAGACACTTTTTTTGCTTAGACCGAAAAAGACGGACGTAAATTGATCTTCATTCAGTACTTCTTCAAGTGCCTTCGAGATTTGGTCTACTTTTGAATTTTATAGAATATATTACGAATTAAGATTTATTCTGCAAAATTTCAGAATTTTTCGCCAAAATTCAGAAATGTCCAGTCCCGTGCACTTTTATAAGATCCTCACAAATGATTTTAAAAATATACTTCCTCAACATATCACTTCTGAAACATTTGAATTCATATTTATAAATTTGAAAAATTGACATTATTATACAAAATCAACTAAAAATATTAAATTTTTCTGAAATAAGGGGAGATTTTTCATAGACTCATCTGCCCTCAACAATTGATACAAATCTATTCTGGAAATGAGATTCGCTCGAGGAGAAAAATCTTGAAAGTTCGAAAAAAAAAACGCATCGCAAAAGTTTCGAAAATGTAAAACCAATTCGGAAGTTTTTACTTCACCATTACATCGAGAGGAATCAGTATTTCAAATCCTATTCAACAACAAAAACGAGTGGTTGTACGAATCGATTCCAAAGGATTTGAAGCTTTCCGAATAATTAATCGCTCGCCAGGATAAATCTGCCAAGTTTGCACAAGAAATAAGCCGGAGGAGGGAACAAATTTAAATTTTGTCAGGATGAAAGGAAGGCAATCATCGCATATCGCTTCCCGTTGTTTTCGACGGAACATTTAATTTTCATTAGCCTAATCTAATTTGCATTTTGCTTCCGCCAATCAAAGTTGGAAGAAGTCATCCAAACAATTTCGATACATCTTATAACTATTCAATAAATACTTAATCAGCGAACTTTCAAGTTCACTGCATAGGTCCCGAAAAGCAGGAAGAACAGTCATGAAAATAAGCAAAAATATTTTGCACATTCACCGAAATAATATACAGTACAGTAATGTAGTAATTTTTCTATTTGACGGTCACTTCACAGCTTTCTGCAAATTGGGATGCAAATATTTTTTCATTGAAAACTTACAATACAGCAAGTATCTTGTATTTATTTTTGTCTCCTAAAGGAAATATAATAAATTAAATTTACTCTATATTCCAATACTTGTCAGATTTAGAGACGCAATAGAGTGAGGATTTCTTTAAATTTTGGAAAATCCGGAAAACACAAAAAACTGCTGGATTGAATATTCAGGGAACTCACGCGCATGAATTATTCGCCAATTATTCAAAAAATAAATTCGCAGGATTGGGTTTTGCGAGTAAATGTTTTTAAATTAATTATCTCCTTGTGAATCAGCAGGATCGAAAATAAAAATCATAAAACCATTTTCCTAAATTTTCACATTTTCCCATAATCAAAATTTTAATGAATACGCGAAGGTAATTAAAATTATTCCCGAAACTTCGGACAAAATGTCGGTTCCCCGAGTCAAAAAGTCACGAATCCATTTCCTCCCCCTTCGATTGCTTTTCTCGTTCCTAATGTAAGCCTGCAAAAAAACACACGAAGGACTTTTGATGTGAATGCTCATGGATTATAATTGTATAAATGTAGAAACAGAAAATGAATCGACCAAACGGCATATATGAAGATAATACCATGACTGACTTCCATCAAAACTCGACAACGGAAAATGCGGTTGAGACACGCAAATGTGAAGTCGTCGGTTTCGTGCACAATGTACAATACTTCCAGCAGCAGGAATTGCATGCATCAGACCAACTTTTGTTTTAAAAACTGCTTTTATGTAGTTTTTATTTTTTTCAACTCGAGAGCTCGTTTTATTGCATGTCATTTGCGGCTTCCTCAAGCCAAATTCCCGTCTAACTGTCTTCTTTTTGAAAAATAAAGTTATTTCTTCCCAATGTATCGACAATTTTCATGGTGGAGTTTTGACCTTTTTTTTTTTAAATAACTCAGGGTTTTTTATAAAACTTGTTGTGAATCACATGATTTTCAAGAAATAGGATTGCTAGCTTATATATCCCAAATCTGCAGTTCCAAGTACAGTAAAATACAAAACCGCTACAGTTGTCTGCAATCTACAAAAAAGAAAGGGCTTAAAAAGTATGTTAGCACTGTATTATAACAAAGTAAAAAGGAAAAAAAACCAGATATAGTATTTCACTACCCCGAATACATATGCAACAGAATAGGAATCCTCTGAACCATTTTGGTTTCAATAGAAAATACTAGATAAAAGTCTTTTTTCATCAGATAAGGATTTGATTCACTGAAATTTTTCTTGAGTAACTATTGAAATTTTAAGAAGACTTCAGAATCAATTATATAAAATGTTCCAATTTAAAATACTCACTCAAATTTTGATGTGGAATGTTCATTTTGAAATACAGGCAATTCAATACCTTGAAATTTGGCCCTGATCCATTACCAAACTAGGGTTCAATTGCAAAACAGTCCAATTACAAGACACTCTAGGAAATCAAGGGAAAATAGCACAAAAAACCCAGAGAAGAGGCTAAAGCAGGTCAAATTTTGGGAAACAGGTTGAATTGCAAGTCAACCTCCAAGCAAATTTGACCATCAAATTGTGGGATGATCAAAATGTGGGAGGTCAAATTGCAAGGTACCACCTTTACTGTGCAATTGCTCATTGTTCAAGTTCAAGGCAACCAATTTGTCCCTGGATGCATTTTGATCTGTAAAATGTTTAAAATACACATTGTTTTCATTTTTTAAATATTCAGTACATTCACAAATCATCCCTTACAAACCATTAAATTCTAAGTATTTAAGCAAGTTTGCAGTTCAAAATTCATAAGTATAAGATTGATGGATAAGATGGAATGATGACCACAATACTCAGAGAAACATGCAGATATGTCAATAATGAACACAAAAAGACCCCAAGAAAAGTGCAAGTCTGTGACAACTTCTGAACAAAACTTAGTACGTGTTGTAAAAATTGCTTCATTACTGGCTTTAGGCATAAAATGCATCCAGATTTGGGACTCTTCAAGATCTGGGACACTTGAAATTCAATGAAAAGACTCTTTCCAAAATCTTAGAGGATCAAGATGAGCTGTTAACCTCATATGATTTTGAATCAAAGATTCTCTCCAAATCGTTTAATCAACTAAACCTCATCTGAAAGCAGGCTGAACAATTTGTGCTTCAATTTGGGTTTAGTAATTGCCTTATGCTGCAATTCTTATAACTGATATTTTGTTTTTGTTATCAGGGAAGGGAAGGGAAGAAAGTGAGTGTATTCACATCAGTTGTGCAATTCTAAATTTTGGGTTGAAGTGTCTTTTCTTTTGGTATCCATTCTGTACAGCTTGTTTCTCTGCTTTCCATTCTGACATGATGGAATGTGTTTGGATGAATGTGGGTGGGGAGGGGAGGTGGTTTGGATGTGGGAATGTTGCTTTAACATTGTGAACACTGAAAAACAGAAAATAAAGCTTGCTGTTCATGTCAATTAAAAAAATGCTTCAAATTCAAGAAAAATACTTGCATTCCATTTTGATATGTTGACTGGCTGCCACAGTTCACCTGAATCAAGAAGCACTCTCCTTTGCTATAATGATATGATTTTTAGAATAGTTTTTAATCTTTGAAGCTTCAGATCTATTCATGATTTTGATCTCTCCAGGAATGTGTGTGGATGGTGACTGAAGAGGTACAAATGCTCAACTCATTTTCTTGTACCAGGGAGATGTTTTGTTTGGGAGTTTGAAGTTTTCAAGCAGAAAAAGGGGTCTTTTCTTGGTTTTATTTTTTTTTGTGAGGGGGGTTGGCCAGTGGAGGAGAGGAGTGATGGACTTAAACAGAGCTCCTGATTTGTGCCAAGCATCCAAAATCGGCTGTTGGTGGCTTCTGGTGGGGGCATTAGTTGGCAGCCTCCTGCTAGCTGCCCCTCATGGAGCATCTGCATCCAAGTAAGTTCTTATATTTCATCAATGTGAGAAATGAATGCATAGCAGTGGTTCCTATTCTGTTATTGAATCTCAACTCTCCATCTATCTATGGTCATATCATATGACTGCCTATTGAAACTCATCCATTCCAATTGAGGTATACAGTATTTTTTGACAATTATTAAAAGGACTTGGTGTAGTTGTGATCTGTGAGTGGGACTTTGAGACCATAGGTTTATGTGGTTGGTGATGTTCTGGTTTACATGGATCATTGAAGAGGGAGTGGACAATTTTGTAAAGTAAGGCATTGTTTTTTTTATATTGAAGTGGCATCCAAAGACATTTAATGGAACGCATCACATTTGGTTTATATTTAGTGCATCACAGTTTGAATAAAGTTGACCAGAGTGCAATGATGGACAAGGCTAATCAGTTTTGATTGTGTTGGTTAGCCAGGAATAGCATACTTAGCTAACTTACATGACTCAGGTTGGATGTCAGGTGAGGCATAGGCATTTGTTTTGGTTTATTGTAGTTCCATATACAAAGCATTGGTGGGTCATCAATTTTTACACAATGCTTTCAAAGCAATTTTCTTCATTGTTTGTTTGAAGGAATCCTCCAGCAAAATCCATCCTTCAAGACTGTTCATTAAAGACCAAACACCATACATTAAGTGATGTAGACAGTACAGTAAGTTGAAAGCAAAAGAGTGGTTAAGCCTGCTAAATTTTGAGAGTGAACATAAAAGTAAAAACAGTAAAATCTTGTTATGACAAACTCCTGGGGACCAGAGAAAAAATTTGTTATGACAACAATTTTGTTGTAATGAAATTACTTGACTTTGTTACAGAAATATAAAGCTCAGGTTTGATTCTGTTCAAGAATGACTGTGTTTCCAAGTTTTTTCCTGATTTTCCTGTTGCATAAACTTCAGGCCTCTCTTCTGATAGAAACTTGATATGCCGTTTTTTAGAAACTTCAGTCTTATCTTCTGGTAGAAACTGCTCAGCATATCTCTGTTTGTAGAAATTACACATATATAGTAAGTTGAAAGCAAAAGAGTGGTTAAGCCTGCTAAATTTGGAGAGTGAACAGAAGAGTAAATACTGTACTGTAAATCATGCCAGTTCAGTTCAAGTTCAACCAATTTTGTATTTTATTTGGGATCAGTCTATTATTGAAGGAAAGGACGTGTCATCTGCTACAGTGCAAATCATTGCAGAAAATGCCTCATTGTTAATGCAGAGAGAAAGAAAAAATAAATGCAGAACATACAGTGATTCATAATTAATTGACCATACTAGCTTTTTGCATTTCCTCAATGCTACATGCAGGAATAATCACCTTCAATAACTCTCAGAATGAAATATCATTATAAATAACTTTGCAAGAACTTTACAAACTCCTGAGTATTCCCTAAAAAAATAATCTAAACCCGTTCCTGATGAATAACAGGATCCACAGGACATGATGAATTATTTAGTATGGGAGTTTCCATTATGCAGATGCAACGCGTCCAGCACAACTTTCCATTTCATCATTATAGCTTACGCGAGAAATTGATGATATGGATCTCGGAAGACAAATGGATTTTGTTGGTAATACATGACATTTTTTTTCGAGAAGATGATAATCTTCAGGAAATCCCATAAGATGATATTGTGCATGAGTGGACTCACTCTGTATGCAAGTCTTGCCTAAAACACGTTCCTCTTTATAACAAACTTAGGTGGTACTGCCATCAAAATCCATCACATTTATGGGGTTTCTCAAGGACGAAATTATTTTTATAAATTTCTTTGCCAGGCTCCTGAATTTTGTTGCAGAGAGTTCATCTGTATGACGCAAATTTAGCATTAGTAAACTTGGTAGCATATTTTTGGTAGTAAAGTATACTCTCCCTGAAAACTGTTATTTTGCTCATATAAGGAACAAATGTTGAAAGTGGAATTTAAAATATGTTTATCAACTGTATTAAGTATAAGTACTGTACCACAAACACACTTTTTCAAGAAACAAAGACAAAAAATGAGTTATAAATCACAGTCACACTAGGTATCCATCTTTCAAGAGATGTTCTTTCAAACCAAAATATTTTTGTCCTTGAATTTAAAAAGCTATTTTTGGAGTCTACTTTTTACTTATTTTATAATTTGTATGTGAAACACAAGTATCACCATAGAATTCAATTTTCAATGAGCTTTAGATCTTTACATATTGTAGTTATTACAATACTGCATGACTTTTGGTAACTGAAGTGAAAACTGAGGTGCAAATCTTATGCACGAATAAAATTGTTTCCACAATTTTTAGCAGAAAATCCAAGGTGCGCATCTTACTTGAGGGCAATTGGTACTAAAATAAATAAAGTATGTTGTTCAGGGTATGCCCAATATACGCATTAGAAACATATTCACAAAATACTCACAAATTAGCATATACAGTGAGACCCCCACAGGTGGACGCCTGGACATGGGGACATTTATTTTTAACAAAAAAATCATAAAAAGGCTCAACATGAGGACACTGACTTGACCTGGGGACATTGCAGGATAAAATTCCGAAATAAATTTTAGGAAAATCGATTTTTATAAGGCTTAATTGCAAGATACCAAATGTATAATCTATGCAAGAAAATTCTTTGGTACTTTTCCCATCCATTCAGCTAATTTTAAAAATGCCCTATAGCACAGAGGGACTTCCTTCTAGCTCTCTTTGTGACAGGGATGTTATTTTTCCAGAAGCCAAAGCCAACTTTTCAATGTACTGTACAGAGGTACACTATTCAATGTTCCAAATGTTCTTATTGGTTTGAAAATATATTCGTTGCATCAAATTCAAGTGGCAAACATTTTTTTTTTTCATGAAATTTTGAAGAATATTTCTTCTATAAAACACCACTTAAAAGTTATATAATGTAAGTGTATGGGAAAACAAGATTTGACCCTGGGGACAATCCAACTTAGGGACACTCAATGCACCAATTATGTCCACATCTGGGGGTCTCACTGTACATCAACTAAAAGAATTAAAAGGATATCATGTGAGGGTTGTCTTAGTTGGAATTCAAGAGTAGCTAAACAACAATTGCACTCCCAGAATTTTTGGAGGATTCATTTACCAGCATTTTGATGGTAAATGAGCAGATGAAATAAACCATGTTGGTTTTGATTGTTTTCACTAACACCTCTTCCTGATGAATCACAATGAAATATTAACCAGAACCTGTGCTTCTCGCATCTGCACATGCCTTGCAGCTGCTTTATTGTGGTCTCCTTTCATATACATGTTCTGAATGGTGATCAAGATAAAGCAAGACATAGGCGATGATGACTTGGTGACCTTTTCCGACATTCACCCTAGATTCTCATGCATGAAAAACTCATCCATATTCCATAGATACTGCACTTCGTTATGGCTTTTGGCAGTTGGGAAGTTACATGTGTGCATCAGATACGCAGAAATGGCTCTTCATGCAAAGCACATTTTAGCTCATACCACAACCCGCTTATTTCTAACCATTACGAGTCAAAACCAACGATTTTCAATGTGAATACCATGAATTTTAAAGTATCTGCTTGTGGTGTATTTCTTTTCATTTTTTACGAGCAAAAAAATTCCAGCACTGAATATATGATATCATGATATGATAGCACTATAATCATAGGGGTAAATTATTTTTGCAACGCGGCGCGTAAAAATAAACTCGGAAATTTAAAAAAGTCACATCAAATTTTCAGAAGAAGTCGAGAAGAATAAAAAACATAAAAATTGAATTTTCTGAAGAAGTATATATTATCATATTAAATTTTTTGAAGCGAGCAAATAAGGTCCCAAAAGCAGGGATTTCTCAAAATAGCACAATATTCACTTGCATGTCAAGAGCAAGTACTTGCATAAATACTGTACAAAGAAAAAATAGGGTACTTGTCATTGGCGCACATGGATTTTTTGCATAAAATTTTTTTCTCAGGTACCCCTCATTCTTGAGTCAATTGCCAGAAAAATCTTCGACTTATCTTCAGAATTGTATTGCTTATAAGTTGCCATGAATAAACAGAATGTGGATTTAGCCTTGAAAAGAGTTGAATTCAATCGATTTTCAGTTCTTTTTGCAATCAGATTCAGAATTCAATAGGATTTATTGATACTTTTCTTTGAAAATGTGTAATCTAGAATCAATAAAAAGAGGACAAATTAGGGTGAGCATATATCAAAGAAATATATATTTTCATCATATTTTCTGCTTTAAAAAATACTGTTGAGTGTCTCACTCTGGCTGGAGAAACATTGTTCAACTCTTTTTTACATTTCTGCAGTACAGCATCGTACTTGAATAAATACAGTATATCAAATTAGAAAATGATCAGAAGTATCTGTGAAGAAAAATAAGAAAGCTTTGGGCAAACAGACAAAGCTTCAGATTACATCTGAGCCAAAATTCGAAATATGATTAAAACTCAGATGATTTGAAGGACCAAGCAATAATTGCTTGCATCACAGGGGGGAAATTCTGGAAATAAATTTTAATGCAGACAGAAACGCATGCAGTCTTTCTTCAACTCTCATGCCTTGCACCAAAGAGTCAGCCCAGAATCTCTGGTCTATATATTCTAATCCTCCTGTAGCCTCTTACACTACAAGTAGCTACTTACACTGAATACTGTTTGAACATTTTCATAATCTTATTGATCCACTTCAGCCAGCCAAGACACACGCTGCTTGCAGTATTGATTTCCTACAAAGCTTCTTTCCTCTGTCCAATAGGAAGGACAGAAAATCTCCATCTCTATACGCATTGGAGCTTTGTTGGTTCTCAGTTGTCAAAGACTTACAAAAAACTGATAGTATTACTACAATTTATCATCATTGGTACAGCAAATGTTGAAAAAATTACATGAATATTTTTCAAAGATCAGAATTTTTTATATTTTACACAAAATACCTTTACAGTATAAGCTTGGCCCAATTAATTTTGAAAATTTGGACAGAGTCTCAATACAGATGAATCTGATAATGAATTTCCAGGGGGCTAATAAAATAAGTTTCAATGAAAAATTTGCTGTACTGAAGTGCATGTTTGCATCACATTTAAGACTGTACCTTTGTGGGTAATGGGTGACAAATGGGAAAGTGTTTCTACAACAGGCAATTAAAGACCTGTCATGATTTCCAAGTCTCTTTGATGAAATGAAAAGGAACTTTTTGAATGTACAGTATTTCTTTTACTGAACCTGCATTTCAACTAAAAAAATATCATTCTGAGATTACAGCAAAAATGAGTTGATTAAAACAAGATAAAACAAGCGTTGCCCCGATAGAGAAACTGCTGGGACCAAAAATTAATTGTTGTAAGAAGATGCATTGTAATGGGATTTCAGTGCATCATGAACGTTGTAATATAACACACACGCAGCTTGCACAGTTGAAACTAAATATCCTCAATCAAAAATATACTCACATACTCTGAATTATAATATGATCAATATTTGTTCACTCATTTTGACAAATTTCATTTGGAAATTTAGACAAATGTACAATGAACACGCATGCTAAGCACAGCAAAAATTATTGCAGTTGAAACTGTTCTGATTGCATAGGGTAGATCACTGCACAGCTTATAACATACAGTGGCCCCCCGCCTAACAGACCTACCGTGTAAGGGATTTTTGCCAAACAGACCAGCTCTGCAAGCAGTTTTTCCTCCCACCCAACAGACAAAATCCACCACACAGAATTCTTTTGGTTTAAAATTAGTGTTGAAAATTGAAATTTTCAATGTTTATGTAATTGAATTCATGTAATGGACTTTTTGTCTAACAGACTTGTCCCTTGCACAAATCAAGTCCGTTAGACAGGCGTTGACTGTACTTCGTTTGTTTGGAAATCATGATGGCAATATGATCTACCATGTCATATATTTCCACCTTGTCAAGTCAAAAACCTCCATTCATCACATTTTAATTGTGCCACAGTCTGAATTTCTTTAAAAACAACATAATACTCTCATATACTGTACCTCAATAGCTTAATCAAGTTGTTGTTGGTATCATTGCAAGAGCCCAGAAAAAGAGAAGATCAATAAAAATGTTATTTAATGAATTTCAAAAGGAGGTAAGAAACTATAACTGGGCAAAAGTAGCCTTGCCTCCACGTTCAACATCTTGTCAACTCATTTTCTAACACATTTGAAGACCCAAAATACTGTATCACCAATTTCTCCTCCCTTAATTTGGAATTTCCCGCCCCCCTCCTACAAAAATGTTGGTCTTGGGTCTAAAATTTAAAAAATCTTCAAGCTGCATTCCGGTGGGTCCCTCAGAGTTCGATTTCATTTGCGCACTTTGCGCAATATACTGCGTATATTTATTTTCATTTTAGTCAGGATTTTGAAGGATTTATTTTGAATTATTGCGCCTGCCTGTCAGCAATTACGCTAAATTCCAAAATCCGGTCAGTTCGAAGTGGGATTGCTTAATGAAGCAGGATATGGTGTGATTTCAAGCATCAAGATAGGGATATCAGGACCAAACGAAGTATCAAGGGGCCAATAACCAGTCCAAGATACGGATTGAAAGAATAAAGAAAGCCTCCAGCGAAGGTTAGTTAGATTTTCAACCTCTTCGATAAGGATCCTTATTTGCGGCAGTTGAAAATCAGTATGTATATAAAGAGCAGGACAACGGAGGTGCGCGGGAAGATCAATATACCTGATCAGAACCCCGGCGTGCCCCGGGTTCGTGACTAGATATCTCCACAGGGGTATTTTTGGACGACCCAAGGAATCCAGGAATCGATCAAACCCCCCCGCCGTCGTATTGAATAGATAACCTGCTCTTCGTGTAAGTGCGTGTGTGTGTGTTTTGCTGCAAGAATTCCGCTTTATTTGCGTTCGTCTCACATGCAAAGAATGAGTTCATTCTGGAGAGTGTACTTTCATGCTTGTTAGTCGGTCTGGGGAGGGGTTCAGACAGGTGGTCATTATTCGGGTGCACTGGGCTTTCACAGGGTCTTATTGTTTGCCTCTGCATTCATTAGGCGCATGCTGGAGAGGGTCTTACAGGGATAACCACTATAGAAAGCTTTTTAACTCTTGCTCTAAATGCCAGATGGACACTGCTGCGATTCCAATCTGACCCTTATTATAGAAGAAAAGGTTAATTATTTCAATCTCGCTGAATTATCTTATGTATCTACATAGGGTCACATCTCATTAGTGACTGACTCTAGCTTGCAAAATGCTGCATTGGAGTTTTTCAGTTGAAGTTACATAAGATATAGCATTCTCACTCAAGTGCCATGAAAACCTGTTTTTCAGAAATTTCAGAGGAAAAATAGAGGGGTGCATGTCAGCATATGCAAATATAAATGGTTGAAATTGTTTAGAATTTTAGGAGTGCATTATACATGATTCTATAGTGGGTAATTTTGGGCCAAGTCTAAGAGAAACGCATACTTTTATAAAAATGATTGCAAATTAGTCAAATTTGCATTCAATATACCATATTTACTCAAGTACCACGTGCACCTTTTTTCCCACATTTCAGAAGAAAAAAAGGGGTACGCCTCATAAGCAGGTACAAAATTTTCAAGAAGTTTTAGGAAGTTATGTTTGCATTATACTTAATTATAATGGAGAAATTTGGAACAAATATAACAAGAAAACATTTTTGCACTGAAAAATTTGAGAATCGATGAGATTTTTTTCAATTCATGCCTAGAGTCAAATTTTTTTGTTGTTGAAATTTTAGGCTTTTAGATTCACTAAAAATTGGGGTGCACATCTTACTCAGGGATAAGATTTTTGCTAAATTTTCAACTGAAAAACCCCTGTGCATGCCTTACTTGAGGGCAAGTGGTACCTGAGTAAATACAGTAAATATAAATTCAAATTTGGGTTTTAATATCTCAATTATGGACTAAGATGTGCGTCTCATGCTATGATAGCATTTTTCCAAAATTTTAGCCAAAAAACTATGGTGCAAGTCTTACTCAAGGGTGCATGATACTCCAATAAATGCAGAAAAAAATCATATGATGTATTCCTGGCAAATTCAGTGGCTCTCATTCTGTACAGATGAAACAATTTTCAGACATGAAGCTAGACTTTGATTTTGAGGAAGTCACAAAGTTCATTTGAAAAAATTGCAGGAACATCAACAATATTACGAAAATGCATTATAATAAGATAAGTTGCTGAAAAATGCACAACCGGTGGACTCCAGAAAAATCTCATCAGCAAAAGTTTTCTCTGCATATCACCTTTTCCATGTGACCCCTTAGAGTTATCTCTCCATGTTATATGTGTTCTCTACAAAAAAATTCTCTTCACACCACATTTTTCTTGCCCCCTCACATTTCATTGTAGAAAAAGTCCACCTATACTAAATGAGTTACGCTGGTCTCTTGGATCCGTGTTGCAACATACAGTATTCCGTTTCACAGCAGTGCTGCAACTCACTTAAGATGCTCAAGAACATTCTTGTCCAGTCCATCAGCAATCATGAGGAGAAACCGCTAATGAAACATACCCTCGGCGGGGGTTGCCTATTTAATAGTTGGAAGAGATACCCAAGATGCCGTGAAGCCGCGGTGAAATCGCATCCCCGAAATCCATTAGAGCTCCTTATCGCTGCGTAGAATGCGACGAGGACAAAAAGGAAGGTCGTTATATGCCCCGGTTTTCCCGCAAGTCCCACAAGTGCTAGAGATGGAGATCCAGGAAAAGCGAGGAAATTCAACATGCTTCCCCCACATTTTGCAAGCCCTCGCTTCGGGGTGCTGAATAATTTAACAGGGCTTCCTCTCGCCACTGAAAGGATCCTCGACGAGGTCCTTCCGGTGCTTTTGTGCTTTGCATAATTACAAGAGTAGAAGGAACATTTTATCTTACCCGCCAGCGTACGTCTAATTACTATACACTTGCCCGCAGGTCATCAAATTTCTACAATTCCGTGTCAACTCCTCCCGAAAAATGGTTATTCTCGCACTAATGTGAATATTTCACGCGATGGGATTTCGGTCCCACGAAAATTACAGAAAAACGGCAAGTGCTTTTTAAGGTGCGTCCTGCCTCGGAAATGCGAAGACTTTTTCGTTGACTGATGAAGTACTGACGCTTTCGCGAGCGATATAAATTACAAGGGATATGTCAGCTAGCTGGTCACCAAGGACTTTTCTCAGATAGTTGAAGTCTTCTCACTTGTATTTGGAAATAAGATCATAGAGTTACCAGCGCATAAAAAACATGCGAATATTAGGCATGCCACGATTAGATTTTTCAATAGAGCCTCCAATAAATTGATGTGCGACAGGAAACGAACTTTCCACACGCTTCAAGATTATCGCACAATCATTCGTCTTTATTATTTTTCGATTGTTTCCGGAGATTCTAACCAAATGCTTCAACAGTTTCGTCTGAAGTCAACAGTGCACGCTTTTTTCGAGTCGGACGTGAGTGGCTAGGTCGAATCAAGCTTCAGGAATGCTTCTTGAGGGACACTCAACATTTAAAAACTTTTGATTTAATCAAAGAAAACTACTGTACATAACGGGGCTTAAAATTGGTCACAACTTAAGGGTGCCAATCTTCGCCGCCTCGGAACGACAGACTTCTTCGGACGAAACCCAGTAACGTGACAAGAAAGGGGGAAACAGTAGCAAACACTTTTCCTGAGAAGGACAATAAACAGCTGAAGAAGATAACACGGAACTGTGATCAAACACTCATTCCAAATGAGACTTGACGATACCACGAAATATGTTCTCGAGCCTATGCATTCGCGAACGTCAGGTTGAGTCATCGTCGAGGAACGAGACCAAACATTTCGCCTTGTTTCGTCAATAACCTAAACATGCTCGACGAAAGCAAGATTGTGAGACATCATTTCATCAACACGCGAGTTGATGAAGGCTATTTCGAGAATAGAACACTGCTTTACCTGGGTGACGAACGAGGAGAGAAAAAAGTTCAACACCGACGCATCAACGTTACGTGACGGGAAGCGCATCTCACCGATTGACAGGGGAATTGCAAAATCAATTTTCACTCCGCGTGCCCCGACGAGAATGTATCAATTTTCTGGCATGTGACATGAATGACATCAGAATAGCGCACGTTTGTGGACTCGAACCGATCGATGAACAAAAGGGGGAGCCAATAAGCGTGTGAATACTGCACTAGCATCGATCCTTTCCACCATGAAAAGAAAAAACGAAAGAAAAGGGTCCGGGTAGCACAAAAGGCAAGTTGTACGCATTCATTAAATTTGCAAAGCCTCCGGTTTCGCTGAAGGTCTTTTCTTCGCGCAGGAATCGATTTCGCGACGTCGGACATTAATGCAGTTAGCTCCCAATTCCAGAGCCGCGAAATTGCATGGAACGAGTAACTGGATATGTATATATACAATACTTACAACACAACTTCAGGTTTTTGGGGGTTTTGAGAGAGTGCCTTCGGTCGCGGATAATCGAATGCCAAGAACGTTCCACACACGAAGAAATGAAATCGCACTTTCGAGCGGATCATCCGAGGAAATCATCTACTGTACACGCGCGGCTAACGTTAAAACTACTGTGAACCTATGCCCACCCTCGTTGAATTCATAAAAAAATTGATACGACCGAATAATGGTACATTGCGGACGATCGAATGGGCAAAACGTTCCACACACGGAGAAATCAGAACGCACATTCGAACCGATCATACTTGGGGCTAACGCTAAAATTACTGCGAATCTGTACCTTCAGCCTCGTATTGAATTCTGAGTTCATCAACATTTACTGTCACTTAAATGCACATAATTAATGGGAGTTGCAAATAGTACGAAACATCTCCAGATTCGACATCACTGAAAAAACATGCATTCTCATCGCGAATGAAAGAGAAGGCCTTCGGTCAACCGGAGATGACGAATAATAGCAGTACAGTACAGGAAATTTTTCTTCCGCGCAGCCATTTTGTTCGCGCGCCTCCGCCGCGTTAATTCGATTAAAAAAGTTGCTGTCCTTGATGATACAGAGAAGAGTAAAGTACAGTAGAGTATATATTCGGAGCCCTCTTCGCGACACCGACGGATTATTGTCCAGGAAGTTGCAGCCATTTTCCCTTGCAGCAAGTCTTCCTTCCGGCAGAATCTACCCTGCTGCTGCTGCCAGGCATTCCCCTGGGGGCATCCGAAACTGATCCCAGAAGTCACGCAGGAGAAAAGAATGAAGATCCCCCCGTATGCCATCAGTACATGCCCGAAGCTCACTTGTGCCACCAATGATCAACTTCACCCTCATTCATCCTCCTCTGTTATATTGTGTCGCATGGGTGTAACGTCTTCACCAAAGTACTGTACTGTGCAGCATAAAATGTATGAACGTCTTGGTTCGCTTGTGCTTTGTAACACCAATTCCCCTTAGGGGGTTGCATAATGGGAGCAAAATGTGCGAACCAAGACATTAGAGAACATGCGGTTGGATATTTGAACGAAATTCTGTGTACACTGTATATACGTTTCCGATGCTTCCTCCAGCATGTGGTGCTCTACTCATAGAGTAGCGAGCTTTGTGCTTGATACCTGCTGTCTAAGATGAGTCATGCGGGTTAAGTTTCAACTACGTATCAATGGATCATCGTTGATACTTCCAATTAAAATTCATAAAATAAACAAATGTACAGTATTAATCTTGAAAAAATGAATATATAATCATCACAAGACAAAATTGACCCAAGTGGAATCAATCAAATTTTCCTAGTCAGCCTAACTCAATAGTTAACTAAAACAAGCAATCAATTGTCAGATGCAAGCCAATTTAGAACCTTATTAAGGTGTAACTGTGATGGAAAAAGCAAAGCTAGAACTTCTGATAATTTGCTTATTTGTCATTACAATCACTCTGTCTTTTATTTGAGCCTAAAATGAATTCAATCATTTCTAAGTAAAACTTAGGGCAGTCTTTCCATGTGGAAGTAACTGCATTTAGTTACATTACAGCTCATTTATATTTTTCCTTCAGCTTATAAAACTTGACTCTTGTATTTGCTCGTCCCCTCTGAGACTCCAGTTTGCCATATTGCACTGCACTGCTGCACAAAATATGGCCCACAGAGACTCTTCCTCTGTCCCACCACCCTTTCCATATAGTTTTCAGCAATATGGAAGCTGTCACTATTCAAACTGTGTATCAAAAATGATTTTTAAAATTCAAAATGTGGCTCCACCCTTCAAAAATTCTACAAGGAAATGCTTATAATGATTTAATGCACAGAACTGGATATCTGGATTGAATTTTAACCTCTCAATTTCATATATTAAAATGTTATAACACAAAGTTATCTTCTATTTTGACCTGAAAGGGCTGTCAAAGTGTCAACCATCAATTCAGTGCAGTGTGGCCCTTGATCACACCTGGGTTGAGCAGGACTGACTACATGAGATTATTTGCCCCATGGTTGCCAAGGCTTATAAGTCAAGAAAAATCTGGGGGCAGAAAATCCCTTTGTCTCAGGATATGTTAATCCTGTGCTGGGAATGCATAAAAAAATGCCATGCAGTGAGGAATTTTTTAAGGTAAAATTTCCTGCAGGATGATTTTAAAAAATGCAAGACTTTTTCCCAACTTGAGCTATGGTTCAAAAATTGGATTTTTTAGCATGCAAAGCTCATGGGAACAAAATTTGGAAAAAATATCCAAACTTCACTGCACAAGGGTTAATAGTTTTCACCATTTTCAAAAATTTATTTCAAATGTTGCACATGAGGCACAGGTGTTGACAGGCTCTTATTCCTGCTGGTGTATATAGGAAAAAATAAACCCTCATGTTTCTCAACATAGGGGGTGAAGTCAGTCAGTCTCCCAGTTTGGTCTTGAGGTTCTGCTGGTGAGAAATGGCTCCTCCCTGGTGATGCATTCGGTTAGAAAATAATGAAATACTGTCTGGGATGAGCAACCAGCAGCAGCTCGATATCTTCGTCGTGGTAGTCGTGGGTCGAGTTGGTAGTGACTGAGGTGAAGTACGCAGTGACCGTGGGGAGGGGGAAGAGAAGACGATTACTCAGAACTGTACCTACTTGATTACCTGCGTAGGCACCTAGTAAATTCCGAATGTTCCTGCAACAGGTTTCACACGTATATGCTCTCCTATAACGTCAAAACCTAGCGCACAGACCCAACAACGACTATCGGTAGGTCTACCAAGTACGTTTTTTATTGGGGTCGGGAGTAGACAAACACGAGTACACCTTTTTGACCTTGAACAGTTAGTACTTACAACCTTTTCTCTGTTAAAGAGAGAGAGAGAAACAGAGGGAGGATCAGAGAGAAATAGAAAGGGTTAGAGAGAAATAGAGAGAGAGAGAGTATTAAAGTACTTCATGAGTACTTGATCAAAACCAGGTTTTGAAAGGAACACACAGGTACTGAAGATAACATTCAATAAGAGCCATGATGTGAACCAACAGTCCAACAGTTATTGGGGTTCACTCACAAGCAAGGAACAGACCAAATACAATTACTGTATGTAATTATACTATAGTTATGCTGTATTTTGAAACATGCTTCAGAAACATGTATGCCTCTACATTCTTTGAATGAGGGCATTTTATTTGTATTCCATTTGAATTTTGAACTTGTATATGTTTTAACTACCAAAAAATACTTTGCAGTTTTTATCCATGTTAAATTTGAGTTGCCTGAAATTTTTTACACTGAAACAGCATGTCCAATTGAAGGTAATGAATGTTTGACCAAAGTGGCTAATTTTAGATTAGATCAGATTTAGAATTAAGTACGGTATACAAAAGAAAAAGGTCCAAACGATCCAATCTAATAATGTTCAAGTCGTCATTAATTAAAATCCCTACAAAAGAGACATCCTCTCCAACTTACTAAGTTCTACACAACTCTGAGCCTAGTTACAGCATGTGCACATGTTTTTTTCATGTTAAGTTAAGCCTGGTTATAGTTTAGTTTTGTTTGGTCATTTTAGTTTTAGATTTTAGCTCAGATATTGTGAGTAAAGCTTGGGTTAGTTTAGGTTAATGTATGTTTGCTCATACTGTAGTTCATCATACAGCTGAACCTCAGTACAGTAACTCAAATCTTCAAAAATAAAATACCTCACCAAGTTAAAAAAAAAATTCAAGTTCAAGTCTGGATCATCCCCTTATAGAAACAATGTTTTAAAAACCTCACCCAGCACTGAAAGGCTTTTCCTCTCAAACCTATTTAACTTCAATTTTTGAAGTCCTTTTGGCTGTTATTTTCTTGACACAGGAAAGAGAAATGCAATAAAAATAATGATGTGTTTTAAAAGTAGCAAAAGACTACTTGAGCAAAGGAACCCCTCCTGCAAGGTTAAGCATCCTGTCAACTCATTCAAGATGCAATCTGAGACCCAGAATATCACCATTTACAATATTCTGCAATTTTTTCATGTTCCCCATAACAAAAATGTTTGGTTCCCTAACTCAAAACATACCTAAGTCAAAATCTTCCTACATTGGTTGTTTGTTTTTGCTCATGCGTTGAAATTTGACATAGACAGGCTTATAATTGTACTCCAAGCTGGACATTTAACAAGTCCATGTCATGCTCATAGCTGGCTTAGGTGAGGTTTTGTAACTTGTGCAGGGGTCAACCTTGGTTGGGTCAGGTTAAATCAGATTACATAGAATATGTTAAGTTTGGATGCAATGTTAGACAAATGCTCTTGTTTGTAGACTTGGCTGGTTTTGTTCTCTCAAGCTATAGGTATAGGCTTAGCTTCAGCTGAGGTTTAGTAGTTTTAGAGTAGGGTTTGTCTAGGTTGGATTTGGATTGCTTCAGGACATCATTTGCTTGAGCTTCTTATTCATGCAGGCTGGAAATATAGAGGTGCCCATTTTAATTCCCTTTCAAGCAATAACAAAAGAAGTAATTTCTGCGATATTAACAATAAGACATTGGCTTTCCATGCAGAACCTATGGTCTTGAATAAGAAACACTATTTTCTGTAATAACTCTGACGAAGCAAGCAAATCAAAATAAAATTCAATACTGCGCACACTGGAAACACAGCAAGTACCAGCACAGCATGATGGACCAATGGACACGATGACCCAACACCGTTTTGAAGGACATCTGCGCGAAAGTAAAATTAATTGCCTACCTTCCGTCCTCATATAGGGAAAGGAAGGAAGGAAGAAAGGAAGGAAGGAATTTCTGCGTGCAAAATTTCAGCGCTCAGTTCCAGCTGGCAAATCCCCAGGTTGTGGGTACTGGCAAGACCGCCTTGCACAAGAGAAACCTCACAAGTGCTCTGCGAGAAAAAAAAAAAAAAAAACGCATAAAACCCGAGTGTAGCTCGTCCAGCTATCCCAGGCATTTCCTTTCCGCCAAAATAAAGAGGTCACGAACTTCTCTCTTTCAAAAAAATAATAATAATAAATGATAAAAAAAGCCAAACAAAAAACAACAGCGAAGCAAGGATGAGGTTCAGAGAAACATTCCTAGGCTCTTTTTGCCGGCTCTCAAAATCCACGGTGTGTGCACAACTTGTTAAGGGAAAGGTCTCGTATTTTCTTGTCTGCCTTCTTTTGTTGCAAATTTCAATTTCCCGGGAGGAAAAACACGGCGAAGAGGATAAGTATAAAAATAAAACGTGCGAGGGCGTGAGATTTTCTGGAAAACATGGGATGAACAGCTGCAACGACCTGGGTGCTGATTGCCGGAACAAAAGAAAGAAAAAAAATTTGACATTCACATCATGTCCTTTGTACAAACTGTGACAATGAATCCCTTGTCACCATTTTTCTCTGCCTTTGAACCACTGAAGCAAAATAGCCAGAGGTTCTCTTCCTCATTCTAAATCCTCTTATAAACAGGTCTTTGTGACCCGAGTCATGGTGTGAATGAAACTCCGTAACTAAAGTGAACTTGTTTAGAAGAGTAACATTTACAGGTAGTAATCATACATTTTATGCGATTTGAATCACGCTGGGAATGAATCACAGTTCCTGTTGTTTAGGATGGATGATGGCAATAAATCAATTGGGTTGACTGTGCCTTAATGTCCCAAGAACTTATCATTCAAAAAGTTTTTTCCCAGCATGAGCAGATAAATACATGCTGGCCTATAGTTCATTCTTATAGAGCACTTATGCTGCAATAAGCTAACTTTTGTTCTCATTTGATTTTTTTGTATGAATGGAAATGAATAGAATTAAAACTGTATTATATTCACTTATTCTAGTAATGAGGAAACCTCTTATAAGATTGACTTTTAAAAGTTGGACATTCAAGGTCAAACTTATAACAGTGTCAGATGTTGTTGACATCAGTTACTAATAAAAGAATATTATTAAATTCCACAAACTGTGACCTTTGAGTTTTTAATTCTAACTCAAATAAAAATTATTCCAATTACAGTCAACCCCAAATGTTGTCTGAATTAAATACGTTGTCTGATGTCAGACAAAACACGTTTCAGACCATTCGTTTAAGTTAATTATCTTTTAACTTTTAGAAAAGATAGACGGTAATGTCATTAAAATTTAGTTGTTTTGTCTGTTATGTGGATTTAGTCTGTTGCCCAAGAGGGAAAACCACCTCCAGAGGCAGTCTGTTGTGCAAAAATCTGTTGTGTTGGAGGTCTGCTGTGCCAAGGTCAACTACTTTTGACTTTCATTTCCATCTGTCATATTACTTCACACCAGAACTGAAGTATGAGTGTATGACTCACTAAAATTGTGAAAAAATTGGGAAAAGTTGAATTTACAGTATACAGCAGTACTTGAGTATGATGAGATCACTCCTTTTTGGTCTTGTGGCAGGTGCTCAAGTGAGTAAAGTAAGTCTTCTTGTACAGATATGCAGTATTTAACCTACCATTTATTACTGCCATAATTAAATGTCAACTTAGGTAAGTGGAATGGTATGTCTTTTGTAATGTTTTTTTTAGGAAAGTACAGTACCCAAATTATTGAAAGCTATGAACAATGTAGGTATGCTTAGGGAATATTTAGGCTTCTTAGTGGTCTTATATTTCCAAAAATAGTGATTACAAGAGAGAAACATTGAACAAATCTTTGAAAATTGTGCTTATCTTTGAACTTACACATACCTTCCCAAAAAATATCTATTTTACATGTCTCATGTATTCTTGTATGACCAGAATTTCCTTGTGCTTGTAACCTTTCTTTTACTTCATATAGACTGCATGGTTACCATGATTGATTTTTAAAATATTCATTATATTTTTGCGCAGGTTTGAGAGGGAGATGACAGACAAGGATGTGCTTGACAAGCTCATTTCAAACTCCACCTACGACACGTCTCACGCAGGAGGAAGTGGACCACTCACTAGATGAAGAAAGGTTGGCTGAACCTTTACATTAAAAACGAAAAGTACTAAAGACTTTACAGGTTAATCGGACTGCAAAGGACAGTTTCTTAAAGGCTGATGAGGTCCAAATATAACTGAAAATGTCATTTCCTACATGTCCACTCTATGTCAAGCATTATGGTGGAAGAAGCTCTGGAACAAATCTGGCAGTTACTAGACCATCATAGACTGCACCACAGCTATATAAATACAGTAAAATCTTGCTACAGTACCAGAAATACCCTTACAATACAACTTTCAGTATAACAAATGCTTTCTCAAGTCCTGGCAGAAAGCCCATGGAATAAATGCTAAAAATCTCAATATGAAGGAACTTTTTAATCCCAGTATAACAAACATATTTTTATGAACCTTTCTTAGATTTTCCAGGATTAAATTCTCTGACTAAGGCAGGCACAGTCTGAAATTTCAAATCCAAAATCATGAGACTGACTGGTTCTTGTACTGTACCATAAATGGAAGCTGCAATAAATGACAAGCATGCTTCCAAGTAATTTCAACAACCTTTCAACATAAAATTAAGAGATTTTCACATCACCCTAGAATGAAGAGAAACAAAGAGATTTGTACATTCAATGGAACTAATGATTCATGTTAATGTTTCCTAAAAGATCACTTAGTTTTTTATTTATTGAAGAAAAGTGTGAGGATGCCAGAAAAGTAACATAAAATAGATTAAAGGCAGGCCTCATGTGATTTTTTCTTATCTTAACTTTTGAAATTTTTTTCACAGTATAACAAATTATTCAGTAATTTATATGATCTGGCAAAGGAAGCATGGACAATGCATCATTGACATTTGCATTTTTTTTAGGAGATCACAGTTTTCAAACTTGATACAACATCTGAAAAGGGCAAAAAAGGAAGATCTTGGACAAAATGCATGCAGGTTTAATTTGGAACAATGTTCACAGTCTTCATTCTGAAAATATTGTTACAACAAATCATTTGTTGAATCAAACTGTTTCAGAAGTCCCCAGGATTTTGTTCTAATGAGATTTTACTGTACTGTAAGTTATAACCAACTTTTCTGAAGTCCCCAAAAGTTTTTTGCTGTGTTATTTTACAAATCAGGAGTTTCTGTGAGAAAGAAACGCCATATGTAGGCTTTGAGAAATTGTATACAGTATTTTTGAGAAGAAACTGCGTGGTTAAATTCTAATTTATGAAGGGGACCTAATTTAACAACAGATTTCCACTGGTCGAAATTTTTCCTCACCAGAATAGCAATGCTTCATCTTTTTCTTATTTCTCTGCATCAATAAAATGTTTTGCTTCATTTCCAACTATTTCTGAAACCCTTTTCTAACCTGGAACTCAAGATAATCTTCAACCAGTGAATATAAGGTAGGTTAACGTTCGCGCCGAATTTTATGCAAAAATAAAGCGCAGGTTTTCATATTTTTGCACCCGGTTTGGCTGAGGCTTCCGCAACTCATAGAGTAAGACCACATCTTCCGATGCTCGTCCTGTCTGAAGATCATGAAGATTGATGATCTCAGTGGCTCAGGCTCCTGCTATTTTATTTTTATTTTATTTCTTTTCGCTGGGTCCTGAGGTTTTTAGTATTTATTTTTACTTCGTTTTTGTGTTTCTCTGATGGTTCCGCGTGATTGCTTGGCAGCAGTAGAGGAAGCGTTCCAAGTTCATTTTGAAGCTCATTTTCAGTGCCACCTGTAGGATAGATTTTGTCAGCACTCTGAGGAAATACAGAGGGTCTTCCTGATGGGTGGAATTTCTGTGTTGATTAGGTCTTAAGGAAGTTTCATGGTCATTAACCCTTGGGCAGCAAAGTTGGACTATTTTTTCGAAATTTTGTTACACCTCAGGGCAGAAAATAAAAAAAGGGCAACAGGGATTTGAGGACAAAGTTGGGGAAAAATCCAATTATTTTTCTTTTTTCACAGAAAAATTTCATGGGAAAATGAAAAAAGCCTATGCTAAGAAATGGGCTCTTCTCGGATTAATCCTGACTTTGCCTCAGCCCACCTGGAAGGTCTTTTCTTACCTTCAGAAAAATTAAAACGCCACAGCATACAAAAATAATCAGATTTTGGCCGGTGATGGGAAAGAACCCTCCGCCGTCCAAGGGTTAAATTTCTTCTTCTCAAGAATGTAAACCCTGATCTGAATAGATGTTCCAACCAAAAAATAATGTAGATACCATTGGCATACAAGTTGGACAAGTACCCTTTTGAGTGAGGAAGGGTAGTTTTCCTTAGATATGCAAAGCTAGAGTTTCTCATGCATGCCAGCATTGTAATGAATAAGTCCTCCACAAATAAAGATGGAAATTAAGTTGAGAAAAACAGACTGGTTTTGCAAATAAAACACAAGAATTTGGTTGGGCTGTGACTGGGGTGAAGAATCACCCTATTATTAGGTTGTTGTACCTCAGTTTTTAGGCACAAGTTTTAAAAGAGATTTTGATTCTTGCAAGAGTCAATGACAGAAGAACACACGCAAATGCCCAAATTGGAATGAATGATTTTTGCTGATTTGGGAAAACAGGAAAACTGTCCTTCAAGGACAAAAAACAGCAACAGGATTTTAGCAATAAAATGCAGCTTTGAAGGCTCAGAAAAGAAATGTGAGAACCAAGGTCTTCCTAGATTCTCACAAAGATGGAATGAAAAAAGAGTCTTTACTAAGAATTTGGGTTCTCATCTGATTTTGGCATGTCAAATTTAAGGAAGCTATTTAATTTTTGCAACAAGCATCTTCAATCAAAAAGTCATTTGAATGCTGGATTTTGGTGGTCCCAGTCCAAACAAATTTGATTGAGTGATTGAATGCAGAAATGGTTATTATCCTCTCAAATTCTTATAATTACAAAACCTCTAAAATAAAGAAGGGACTTTGATATTCACTTGAGAAGCAGAAGACAGTAGCGGAAAAAGATTATTGGATGCTACATGTTTGTAAGTCCAGAAAATATTAATTCCCAATAATTTGTATTGGACTGAGCCTACATTCAGGCATTACTTATTTTTTTAAAGCTTCAATAGTAAAATAAAATTCAAAAATAAAATGTCTACCTATAATAGTCAACAGTTTAGAGAAATGTATTCAAAGATCAGTAAAGTATTATATTTGGCAAGCATTATATGCATGTTAAAGGAATGTATTCTGGAACCATTCAAATATGAGTAAAATGCGAATGTGTCAGGAAGCGTTATTTTAGTCTGCTTATTATAGAGATTAAGTGCAGATGAAAATAATAAAGAAATAAAGCGGTGGTGACGTGCTGCTGTCTCAATACTTCATCAGAATGTTTCTCTTTCAACCTTTCTCTCTGGAAATATTTCCAGAATGTCACTCTTAACATGTGCCTACTTTCACAATATTTTATGCTTGACATCCTTCTGCACTTTATGCAATTTCAAGTAGCCTAAACCGAATTTTCAAAAGTTCTCTTCTATGAAGGTTAGTTATGTTTACTATTTGTTTACTGTGTGCGTTTCACAAATAATCCATATAGAATAATAAGCTATGACATGTTTTATTTAAACTGTTGCAAATTAGTCGTTACATACAGAGAAATTGCTCAAGCTTTTGAAACAATTTGTGGCCTTGAAATAAAAACTTGTGTTTCATTCTCTCTGCCATAAATTTTTAATGCTTCACTTTCATCCCAAGGTTAAATTGCACTAATAGCGTGAAATAATCTGACCTAGCTTGGCAAAATTGAGTGTATTGAAATTAGACTTTCCTGCATCTTAGAAGACCTTTATATGTGGCTGTTGTTTGTCAAGTACAATATATGAATTGGAAGAACTCTCAATGTTGTTTACAGAGCAAATATATTAAGCATGTTTCATATCACAAACATTGCTATGAGACACATTTTCTATAAATGCTCTTTCACCCAAAGGTTTTGCACATGAAAAATAACTAACATTCATAAGAAACCAGTCTGAGTCCTAAAAAAAAAAAAAGGCTGGGATGCCATGCATTCAGTGAATAATGAATCCAAGAAGTGTCTGCCTCTTGCATCCAGTACTGGCTAATCTGGGCCTCATGTTCTTCCTTCCTCTTTGTTTGTCTTTTCAGCTAGAACGTGACTCAGAGATTCAAACTTTAACATTGCAATGAAACCGGGAGAAGTTTAATTTTCACCCAATAAATGTGGTTGGCCATGAGAAACTTCAAAATTTATTTTAAATTGTCAGGTCTATAAACAATGAATGTATGTATATAAAATATGTACCAAATATTTTACTAGGACTCAGTAGTCCAAATATAAGACTGAAATAGGGTGATGAACTTACCATTAAATGGAAATATATTCACTGTGAGCATCATCCCATTCTGGATTGAAGCCACATTTTGGGATGTGCAAAGCATCTTTTTAATGTCAGTTATATACTTATATGCTATCATATATTGCAGAACTTGAACATTCTCTGAAGTATTTTGTGAAGATTCACCAGATGTGGCTGAGAATCCCATGGAATGTATGAGATGGGGCCCATAACAAAAACTAAACAATAGACCCTAATTGATCATGTACCAGTGTTAAACAACAGCATCACAACTGGTGCATTGAGCCCAAGATGACCAGCAGTTGACCTTGAGTAAGTTATCACCTCTGCAGGATCACTGCTATTTTTTGAAAACACAGTATAATATTGTTACTACAAACTGATCCCAGGGACTATGGAACACAATTTATTGTAATGAAAAAATGCATTATATCAAGATTGATGGATTTATTTACAGAAGTACACTTTATCATTTGTAAAATCATTTTATTACCAAAAGAACTGTAGTCATTTGTCTCTCTTTGCAATAACTGTAAAATAAATGTCTTTCTTGAAATGGTTGAAATTGAAAATGAATTTAAATATTGGAAAATGAACTTGACACCCAAGAGCATTTGAAAAATACCACATTTTGGTGACTATATAGCTGGGGAGCACTGTGCTTCCAGACTCCTAAGACCATGGATTAATCCAGATACATTTGTTTTATGGGCTTCCTGCCAGTCAGCTAATGTAACCCGCTTTTGGCTTCCTGTATTTTTAATGTGTAATTCTCCTGGAGACTCCTTTCTTGTCTACCATCTAGGGATGATGAGCCTATGGAAATTATGGCAAGAAAATCAGGGTCCACAAATTCAGAAATCAGTACCAAAAAAAAACAAAAAATGAGTTAAAAATTTTAAAAATTTGTGACAAAAGTTTTTTATAACCAGAGCGTCTGTAGAAAATAAATTTGTTGACAAGAGACTGATTTAAGCTGTGCTTCAAGGATAACTGGCTGGACTTGGAAACCATTTTTTTAAAGCAAAATTTTGTTATGCTGAGATTTGTTGTAACAAGATTCTAATGTATTTGTACAATTTTGACCAATCATAGCTTATCCCTCAGATGGCTGCAAGTTCCTTTGCACACTGCAGAGGAGGCAGGGATTTTCAGGGATGGAGGGGGGCACATACCAGTTTCACCAAAAGCCACTAAATTAAAATGCCCATGGCCTGGGAACTTGGGAATGCCTAAAAGTTGGAAAAATCTAGGTATAGAAACTGGGTAGTCCTAAGAAATCTCCAATGTTTATCTTAAGGGTGCAGGCGAAATTTGCCGCAGTTGAACTTGCCGCACTTCAACTTGCTACTGCTGCAACTGACTGCAGCCTGAAGTGACCGCAGTCACAAGTTGCTGCTGTAAAAATTTTCATACAGCAGAATGCCTAGTTAAGAAGTGGAAGAATGTTGGAATTCCTTTTTTCCTGAAATTTTAAACAATGAAATGGCAAGTGGCTGCAATTCTAAACCGTTTAACACTATCGTCGTTCAGTAATGTCACCACTCAACAACGTCGCCGTTGAAGGTGGATGTCACTGAATAGTGTCACCGTTCAATTGTGACGTCGGCCAACACTGTCGTCGTTCAATTGACTGCAGTAAGTTGTGACAACAGCAAGTTCAACTGCTTGCAGCAGGTTGGGTGTGCAGCAAGTTAGAAAGCGGCAAGTTTCACCAACATGTATCTTAAGCTAGGAATGTGGGAAACCCATGGAGGGTTTTTTTTCAAGCAAAATTTTCCTGCAGAATAAGAGAAAAGTGGACTTTTGCTTGACTTGGAATGTGCTTCAAAAATACCTTTTTTATGATTCTCATTGCTTTTGGGCACAACATTTTTTGACAATATCCCAACTATGCCTAACAAGGGTAAAATATAACATCACCAGAAGACTTTAAACAGCTTTATTTATTAGATTTGTATAATACATGTCTACAGAAGTTTGAACATCATGTCCAGGTGTTGATGGGCACCTTAAAATTGTAAATACTGAAATATTAGTGGGCCATTAACTTAAAATAAATTCTGGAAGTTCACTGAGTGCGAACAACGCATTTTCTTGCACTGCTGCTTCATCTCTATATATAAAGACTATTTTAGCCAGCTTTCCAGAAGAAGCCCAGGAAGTAATGCCTCACCTTCTGTCTCCGCCTTCTCTTGTATATTTTCCTCTTGTCTGAGGTATTGAACATATTCCAAAGACGTCGGTAAATCGAGACAAGCCCATATTCTTCCCCAAGTGTGGTAACTCTAGTCCAAGGGCTTTATGTGGGCTCTCTGGCCCAAGGAAAGCAAAAAAAAAAATAAGGATAAAATTATTCCGTCCCGAGGCTTTGCTGAAATTTGGGTTGCAGATTTATTCCTTCCGTCCGCTTCATCCTCTGTTAAAAATGGAGATTTTTCTGCAAAAAATTGCACCCATTTTTCTACTCTCTCTCTCGCTTTGCCCAAGTGTCTTTTTCGTGCAAATTCGCAATTTTCTTTAGATGTATTTCTCTTCCTTGACATGATGCAGCACATCGCAAGCTGATGTTGGTCCAGAAGCATGCGTCAATTTTTAAATAAAAAAAAAGACAACGTTTAGGAAAACCCTTCTCGGGTTTTCCGTTTTATATTGGCGAGAAAAAACTTGCAAATAAATAAAATATATTTCTGGCCCATTCCACAAATTCATGGGACCCGTTTGCATTATTTAGGGGTTCCTATTCCGTCCAGAAATTCGGGCCAGTTTCCGGAACTGCAGCTCTTCCGAATTTTTTTCTTCATTCTTACCTTTTTTATTAAAAAAAATTTTTTTTTGCTGCTCCCTCATCAGTAATTCATGACCTGGGGTTCTCCGAACGACCCTCTGTGGGCGTGTTGTGATTAAAAGTGAGTGAAGAAATGCCTTGTGGGTCAGAAAAGTTTTATTTTACGAAATAATCCGTGTCCATGAAGGATCTCGCCTGAAGGCAATTTCCTGGGAAAGGAAACAAACATGGGTCATTCTAAACAGTGGAATTTCAAGGGACCAGCAATTATATGTGCCTTATGCTGGAGGTTTTGCTTTACCCAGTTTAAAAGTTATAGAGAGATTACTATTATTAGGGAACCAAGGATTTTTCTTGAGAGAAACATGGAAGAATTGCACAAAAATTGTAAATGGTGATATTCTGGGCCTTAAATTGTTTTTTAAATGAGTTTACAAGATGCTGAACTTGGAGGCAGGGGTTCATTTGCCCAATTAAGTCCTTCATATCAGTCCAAAACACATCTAATTTTCTTTTGCATTGCGTTCCTCTTACCTGTGTCAAGAAAATAATTGCAAAAAGGCCTTAGATAATTTGACTCAGGGAAGTTTGAGAAGAACAGCCTTCCAGTTTGAGAGATTCTTGATACATTGTTTCTAAGGGAATTTGATATATTGTTTCTAAGGGGGGACATTGACAGAAATTTTATTCAGGGACTTAGTATTGACTATTGAACTAGGTTGGAGTAATTGAGGTTTAAGTGCATGTGCAGTGCGTGTCTGGTCAGCCACCGGTTGGTCAATTCACGGTTGCGCACCTGCCGGTTGTCAAGCGCCAGTCAGTCCAACCGCCAGCCAGTCATTGGTGGTAGGATACCATTCTGCTCACTGAATTCTGAAAAAAAATCAGCATGATTCTTGTCACCCAATTGTTTGGGTGCCCTGACCATTGGGTGACCAAACCACAGTTTGGTGGGCTTGGGATTGGCAAGGCCAAGGACTGCCCTGGCTGGCGGTTAGACGGACCGGCGCTTGATGACCTGCGGGTGCGCAACCGTCAATTGACCAACTGGCGGATGACCCTTGTACCGTGCAGTGTGACCTCAAGTTGCCAACAATTGGTGCTTGGAACTTATCCCAATATGAGAATGTATCCACATGTTTTTTCTTGTTTTTCAAGCATAGACTTCAACGGGACCTCATTTAACTGGTTCTCCAGTTCATCAAAAACCACTAACAAATCCCTCAAAGATTCAAACAAAATGCATTGCTCAACTTAAAGATGCAAAATATAAATGTGCAGAAGAAAACCACACAGAAACTAATCTGGCATCAAAAAGAACCCCAAAAGCAAAAAAAATTTCAGTTCTTGTTATACTATATGCACAGCAGATCATGGAAAATACTTAAAAAAAGAAGCACAAATAATTAACTTGATTTTTTATTATTTTAATTTCAGTAAATATGTAACAAAATTCACTTTTAACTTCTGTAAATATAAATATCTCAATCTGTCAAGAAATATCCAAATTCTAAAAATTGAAATTTTCTATTTTTCTAAAAATTGTTGTAAACGTGTCTGATGTAGATCAATATTTTGCCTCAGGATGTCTGTTAAGATTTTTAAAAGTACATTCAACCCTTGGTTAACGTTCCATTTGCTGAACGTTTTTTTTGCATGATGTTCCTGGTTGTATGACAAAAATCTCCTTGCTCAACATTCTGAAATCTGCACAAAGTTCTGCAGTTGTGCGGAATTGCTGTTCACTTTTTGAAAATTTATCCGCAATATGCATATCCATACGTTTTTCTGTTTCTCCTTTTTGTTGTTTACATTTGATAATTCCCAGTGAGCAAGAATTAGTCCAATTTTACTCCAAAAGTCCTCCAAATATCACTTGGTGTCCTAGATTAATCCAAACTTTGTCCACATACATCTAAAATTAGTCCACCTCTGTCCGCAGAGTGTGGGGTTGAGAGAGTGCGAGGGGAGACCCGAGCGTAGCATCCTTGCTTGGGCTCCACATACGCAAAAGTTACAACACGCCACCAGAACCAAGGTCCTGAATGGCACCCGGTTACCGCCTGGCGGAACCGGGTGAGGAGATTACAATCAGACTAATGAATCGTGAATTCTGTGAGGCTCCGAAGCCGTCACTCTGTGAGTTGCCTGGCGTATGTTTGGTTACTAGCAAATTTGCTGATTTCCTTCCTGAGGACTTGTCTTGTGTGTGACTTGTGTGTATGATTGAGATATCTTAAGGATTCTGATCTTGGTTCTGTTTCTGGGCGTTGTGTGTGCACTGTAATTACTTGTCTTGTGTGCGACTTGTGTGTATGATTGAGATATCTTAAGGATTCTGATCTTGGTTCTGTTTCTGGGCGTTGTGTGTGCACTGTAATAAACGAGTGCTTAAGGGACTCCCTTCAGGAGGATCCGGCCTCCTAAAGGCTGCGAACGGTTTATACTTATTTCCATAAGGTCTTTGTCATTATCACCTGACAAAATTGGTGGCCAGTAAGGGGGACATCTCTTACCATCTCGACGAAGGGTGACATTGTCCTCACCCAAGAAGATCTGCCCTCCATTTGGGAACGTTCCTCCTAAGGCGCGCAGCACCGCCTGCATCTCCGTTTGGAATTGCGTTGCAAGATGCCTCGCCAGGTCACGCTCCCGCGTGGCAATCTCTCCTTCAACCTCTCGGAGCCGGCGACCAACCACCTCCGCGGCATCCACCGCCACGGCCATCTTGTCGACTGACGCCTGCACTGCGTTCAGCCGTTCCTGTGCGGCCTCCGCTGCCGCCACATCCCGAGCAACCTGCGCCTCCAACTGAAGCCGCCAAACGTTGGCTCCCCCCGCCGCCGCAGCTACAGGCAACAGCGCTATCAGCTGCTGCAGCTCAACCTCCTGCAGATTGACGAGGCGGGCAACGTTCGCCGCTGCCGACGCGCTTTGCACGTCCACCACCGGCACCTCCGGAACGGCTGGCGGCTCAGCAGTAGCATCCATGGCTCCAGGCAGCGCCCCCTCCGCCACAGCGGCAACGACCGCGTCACCGGCAGGCTCGGCCTCCGTCACCACATCTGAGATGGCGCACATTGGCAAGTATTAAGAATCAGAGAATGAGCAGGGTGGGATACCACGTACCTGATACGGCGCCCTCTGAGGCGTCCTCTTCCGATGCGCGGCGTTTTGTTGCGGCGGGATGGTCTCTGCTCAGACCTCGCTTCCTCTGCGACTCCATTTTGTCTAACACTGACGTTTTGTCTTGTTTGCGTCTTTCGATGTCTTGTCCGGGTCCTTGCCGTGGCACCTTCGTTGTCTTGTCTTCCGTCACGATCGGGTGTTTGCTTTTGTCATCTTTCTTTTTAGCGCAAGTATCTTTCCTTTTTTTTTGGTTTTGCGCGATTGTGTCGTTTTGTTGGTTTTACGCGCTGGTCGATGATCTGCAATGGAAGAAAGACAACTACATCAGCACCCTGGACACCCGTCACTTGCATGGGTTCATGAGCACTCTGCGCCTGCACACAACAAACGCGATGACTTTCCTCATACAAGACCTATCTCCGCTTGGGAGAAGGTAGGGAGCAACAGTACCGGCGTGACGACTTTCCGCGCAATAGGGCCTGCCTCCGCTTGGGAGAAGGTCGGAAGTAACGGTACCCCCGCGATGACTTTCCGCGCACCGAGGACCTACCTCTGCCTGGGAGAAGGTCAGAGCTCACGGGACCAACGCAATGACTTTCCGCGTAACAGGACCTACCTCCGCTTGGGAGAAGGTCGCAAGCAACAGTACTGGTGCGACGACTTTCCGCGCAATAGGGCCTGCCTCCGCTTGGGAGAAGGTAGGAAGAAACGGTACCCCTGCGACGACGTTCCGCGAACACGGACCTGCCTCCGCTTGGGAGAAGGTCGGCAGCAATGTTACCCACGGATCCTGACAGCGACAGGAGGCCTCCGCGACAACCACCTACGATTCAGGGTAAGCCTACACCAAACCCCACCGTCTTTCTTTTCCCCAGGGGGCCCCCGCCTGTGCAGTTCCTGTTCAGGAAGCCAGCTCAAAAAACGCCACGAGACGCCGATGGGGATACAACCAGCATCACCCGCGCCGGGAATGGCTGAAACGGGTAACACTGCAGAATTTTGACAAGTATTTTGGGACACAGGGAGTTACACAACACTTGACATATGACTTTTGACACTTTTTGAAATTGACCCTTGTTCCTACGCACTTTTCGGGAGATCCGCCCTGGGCGACTTCCCCAAACTGAATGACTGACTAATCCGCCTCTCTGTTACAGGCGTCGATGCGCATGCGCGCCTCCATTTTCTCTGTCCATTGCCAGTTGAGGACGCTGCGTGCCCTCGCTGGCCAATCCCAACCGCCCTCCCAGGCCCCCGCGGAGCAGCGACATCTCTGCAACCCCGACTTTGGGGTCCTTTGGATCCCTCCAGCCATCGGCCGTTGGCATCCAAAGGGGGGGGATTTTGTGGGGTCGAGAGAGTGCAAGGGGAGACCCGAGCGTAGCATCCTTGCTCGGGCTCCACATACGCAAAAGTTATGACGCGTCACTGGAACCAAGGTCCTCACTAATATCCTCACCCGGTTCCGCCAGGCGGTAACCGGGTGAGGATATTACAATCAGACTAATGAATCGTGAATTCCATGAGGCTCTGAAGCCGTCACTCTGCAAGTTGCCTGGCGTATGTTCGGTTACTAGCAAATTTGCTGATTTCCTTCCTGAGGACTTGTCTTGTGTGTGACTTGTGTGTATGATTGAGATATCTTAAGGATTCTGATCTTGGTTCTGTTTCTGGGCGTTGTGTGTGCACTGTAATAAACGAGTGCATAAGGGACTCCCTTCAGGAGGATCCGGCCTCCTAAAGGCTGCGAACGGTTTATACTTATTTCCATAAGGTCTTTGTCATTATCACCTGACACAGAGCTCCAACAATTGTCTAGATTTCTTTGGATGTGTGCGGACTACTAGTCCGCACACATCCAAAACAATTCCAATGCCCCTGCTGATCCCCAGGAGCACTCAACTTTTTGGATGTGTGCGGACTACAAGTCCGCACACATACAAATAATTGAGCCACAGATGGGGCTTGTGTGGACTCAGAAGTCCGGGTGAGTCCGCCACAAGCCCAAAATTGAGGTGTTGCTGGCGGAATTGGTTTTGCTGGCAATTCCGCCAG